CAGGTCAATTTCAAATTTGGTCATGGTTCGATGATTTTTGGCAGAGTTATGCCCCTTTCACTTTAAAATTAATACATGTATGAAATTTTCAGTTTCCATTTATTATCTCCCCAACAATATTACACAACTCAACTCAACTCAAATTTGACATATGGATATGTTTTTGGAATGCGCAGACCAAGTTCGAATCTGGTCATGGTTCAATGATTTTTGGCAGAGTAATGCCCCTTTCACTTTGAAAATGATATGAAATTTACAGTTTCTGTTCATTATCAACCCAACAGTGTTACATATTCAACTCAAAATTGACATATGGATATGTCAAAGGAATGCGCAGGTCAAGTTGGAATTTGGTCATGGTTCGATGATTTTTTGGCAGAGTTATGTCCCTTTCACTTTGAAAATAATATAGATACATCTTAGGTCAATAAGCAGTTTAAGTTTGAATTTGGTCGTGGTTCAATGATTTTAGACAAACTTATCTTTCCTGAATGTTGGAAAAATTTTGAACATTCACTTTCAGCACTCATACTTTTGTGGAAATGTATATAGCCATTATGTTGGCTACAAATATGCAATATGCTATTTTTAAAAGGTTAAGACTGAATAATTTCAGTGCCTTGAACATTGTATAAAAATGGTTTGTGTTAACATTGAAAAGTTTTAAGGGCTTTGAACTTAAAATGAAAAAAATAATTTGTGCAAACAAATTTGGAACTAAATATTATAACATTTGAAATTTTGGCTGCATGCGGGGGCATCCGTGGCATGATGACACATTTCTAGTTTGTTTATTAATTTCTAAGAGCTATAATATCCTATGTCTTTGAAATTAATAAACAATATTGAACTTTGAAAAAAAGGAGCTTCCATGCATTTTTTTTAATAATTTCAGGAAAAGTAATGCAATGAACGAATGATTATGATTATAACAAGTGAGTCTCAGAATACGCATGCGCGTAATGCTACTTCCGTTTCTATGGAAATACCGTACTGTAAAAAGGTCTATATGTGACTTTACATAATTTCATTTACTTTCTTATCTGTTCGTTTTAACTTTATGATAAATATATGAAATATATCATATATTGACGTTGTTAAGCGGTGTAATGTCATAGATCGAATATGTTACACGTATGTGAAATATCTGACTGTAAAATGACAGCTGTTGTCTTGTCTGCTTAATGATACGGTAAAGAAAATAAACGTATATTTAAATGATAATAAAACAACATATTATATCATCATCGTCGTCGTCATTATCATAAGCATTGATATCATATCACAACCACCACCATCATTATCATCATCATCATAATCATTATTGCAATTAAGATATTTCAGGAGCAGGAACATGACGACATCAACAACAACAACAAAATATTTTTATGAGTTTTGCAATTTACTCCGTTCTTCTAAATTACAGTACTATCATCTGACAATTTGATATTAATTTCAATTTTAAGACGAACATCATTATTTTTAGATTTTTAGTAGAAGCAGCATGACTACCATCTTCATCATTTCTGACACCATCGTCGTTATCATCATAACCACAAATACCATATTTATCATCATTATTTGATATCATGACCGCCTGTATTATTGTCATCACCACCATCATCATCATTATCATCATCGTGACAACTATTATAATCTTTGTCATCATGATCATCACCATCAGTATCTACAAAATCACGCCCGTCATAATAATCATGATGATGATGATGATAGTGATGATGATCGTTACGTCAGTCTTATAACTTGGTAGCATAAATCAGATGTCCAATCACATGTGATTGTTTTTCTTTTCCAAAACTGATGAAAGTGAGATATGATGATTTTGTTGTCGTATTATTAGCTCGACTATACGAAGTATATGGAGAGCTGTCCTACTCGCCCCTACGTCGGCGTCCGCGTCCGCGTCCAGATTTTAGATTAAAGTTTTGGTGCAGTAAAATATTTTTCACTATAACTTTGTCATTTCTTAAGGTATCTACTTCAAACTTCAAATATATGTTCCTTATCATCAACCACATCTTATGTGACAAGGTTCATAACTCTAGCACCGATATTTTTAGATTTATCTCCCCTTGAACATAGAATTTTCCTTAAAAAATACTATTTTTACTGTTACTTCTTTATTTCTTAAGGGATCAACCTCATACTTCAAATATATGTACCTTATCATCATCCCCATCTTATGTGACAAGGTTCATAACTCTAGCACCAATATTTTCAGATTTATCTCCCCTTGAACTTAGAATTTTCCTCAAAAAATGCTATTTCTTACTGTTTCTTCTTTATTTCTTAAGGGATCAACCTCATACTTCAAATATATTTACGTTATCATCATCCCCATCCTATGTGACAAGGTTCATAACTCTAGCACCAATATTTTCAGATTTATCTCCCTTTGAACTTAGAATTTTCCATAAAAAATATTATTTTTTACTGTTACTTATTTATTTCTAAAGGGATCAACTTCATACTTCAAATATATTTACGTTATCATCATCCACATCTTATGTTACAAGGTTCATAACTCTAGCACCAATACTGCAAGAATTATCTCCCCATAAACTTAGATTTTTTTACTAGAAAAATGTTATTTTTTATTATAACTTTTTTATTTTTAAAGGTATCTACCTCAAACTTCAAATACTTATTCCTTATCATCAATTACATTTTATGTGACAATGTTCATAACTCTTGAAGCAATATTTACAGATTTTTCTCTCTTTGAACTTAGGATTTTCTTTAAGAAATATAATAACTTCTTTACTTTTTAAGGTGTCTACTTCAAACTTCAAATATATATTTCTTATCATTACACAAATGTTGTGTGACAAGGTCCATAACTCTAGCATGACTATTTCAAGAATTATTCCCCTTGATCTTGGAATTTATGTTAACAAATGTTATTTTTTTACTATAACTTAATACATAATTATACATAATTGATTTTTCTTTCGTATTTTGTCCTCCTTACTGCGTCCAGTATTTTATTAGTCTAGCTTCGCTGTCTCCTGTGACAGCTCTTGTTTTTTCCTGCTTTAATACGCGTGGCATTTTTGTATTTGTTATGGTGTGCTTATAATGCTTGAGACGCACGTATAAGTCACATCTTATGTACCCTAATCGTTGTATGCACGTGTCATTTTCGATCAAATATATCGCACGTGTGATATTCGTTTTAATTTATTTCTTCGATCTGTGATATAAAATGTTCTGTCAGCTTTTAGGGATATGTTTTGAAAACCGTTTAGAGATTATTAAGCCTTCCATTTAGTACCATTAAAACTTTTATTTGTTTTAAAGATTTAAACGCTTTTTACAGTTGATATTTAAGATTTATACAAAATACGTCATTCACTTACGTAATATTTGCTAGTTATAAATTTTTTCTGTCACCCACTGTGTCAAATATTTTCACTGAATTCGTTATATATTAAAGTACAGTATCTATAACCTAGGGTCAAGTTGTTTTCCATTTCACGTATTAAGATATTACCAAGACACTTGGCTTTCAGAAAGGTCACGCTTTACGAGAATGGACTTGTTTCGTGTCCAGTTTCGTTGTTATACACGCATTGTTATTAGTGAATAAATATTTGCTTTTACCCCCAAGGTTATCTTTTAAAATTTAAGTGTGTTGTGGGATTATTCTAATTTATGTTATACAAGGGGTTAAAATGTGTGTACACGTGTTGAAACAGGAAATGTACAATTATATATTATAGATATTTGATTACAGGATATGAACGTGTAATCCGCGGTCCCCTTTATTAACATTATCTTGATTTGTTGATAATAAAACATACAAAAACTTCAGAATTAATCACATGTCTACAAAGTTATTGTATCTGTACTGACTTGTCTGTTAAAGCTGCTTTTCTCCAGCCAATTTAATTATATAATTCTCGACTTAAATCTCAGTGATAAATTTGTATATTTAACTTCTCTGACCACATAACACTAGACGTAAATGTCTGCCAGTGTCTTTTTGATTCTCTAACTTAAATATCAGTAAAATACCATCGTTATTTTCTCCATTTATATCAAATTCGGCGTAAATGTCAGTAAGTGATATCTTAATCTTCTCTGTAAATGTCAGTAAGTGACCTTCGTCATCTTTATCGATGTTAATGTAAATGTCACTAATTGATATCTTCATCATCTATATCAATGTTAATGTAAATGTCACTAAGTGATATCTTAATCTTCTCTGTAAATGTCAGTAAGTGATACCTTCGTCATCTATATCAATGTTCATGTAAATGTCACTAAGTGATATCTTAATCTTCTATGTAAATGTCAGTAAGTGATACCTTCGTCATCTATATCAATGTTAATGTAAATGTCACTAAGTGATATCTTAATCTTCTCTGTAAATGTCAGTAAGTGATACCTTCGTCATCTATATCAATGTTAATGTAAATGTCAGTAAGTGATATCTTCATCATAAGAAAGTGATATCTTCCATCTCGTTATTAACGTTGTTTTCAGTGATATTTTCATTTTCTCTGTCTATATCATTATCGACATAAATGTCAGTAAGTGATATTTTCATCTTGACTTTATTGACAGTAAGTTCACCAACTTCAATGTCGTATATACAATATTGTAATAATCCAAGGTTCCAATTAAACGTCTTTATCAATTTCTTCAGATGCTTTCATCATCTCTAGCATCAACTTTATTTCTCTTATCTATCATAACAAAGGTCATTATTGGCGGCCTGCAGGATGTGAATGAGACCGCTTTAGTGATGTGAAAACTGCTACTTTAACATGTCGTAAACGTATATGCCCGGATAGAGCCGAATGGTGGACGATATATTAATGAAAAAAGATGTTACAAAAAGTTTATTTTATTTATTGAAAAAGTAGTTGCATAATGTACTTGTGTCTATTTTTATATGTAGTTGTTTCCGTTGATATGTTTTAGTAAATATAACGTGAAAACATGAAGATAATGTTATTATTGTTTATTTTCAGATGCCCAGGATGAAGGGTGCGGCTGTTCAATGTTGTATGTGTATAACCGGGGTGTTTATGTTCCTAGGTGGAGTTATAATGCTCGCTACCGGAATTACTCTAATACTCAACTATGGTTTTTTCGATGAAAATCTTCTTCCACCTGATCTTCAAAATGAAGAAGGTAAAAAGACTGTCGGTATCATTTTGACATGTTGCGGGGTATTAGCCATCTTAATAAGTGTCATAGTTAGTGTTTTGTATTTTTGCGCGCAATCGAAATCATCAGCAATCAATCCGAATGAGCTGAGCAGAATTCCAGCGTCTGCTCGAAACACTACTCCAGATAGCTTAGGTCGAAGTCGAACAGACAGACGGACACATTCTAAAATTAGCACTGTATCAAACGGATCTGCTAGACCTGCGCATCCGAAACAAATACCAGGCTCGGCAGAGGTAAAACTTCCACGTGCGGCATATAAAAAGGGCAGACATAGGAAAAACCATCCGCGTCATGTTAGACGGCTGGAAGAAATCAAGGAACAAGACGCAATATCTAGAAAAACTGTAGACGGTACGTTTATAAACGAGGGTTACGATGAAAATGATACTCCAAGAAGCGGGTCGTTTTCAAGTGAAATGACACTAGACGACCAAAATAAGAATCCTAAAGTGATATTTAATGATAATGATAATAGACCACCTAGTGCATGTAGCGCCACAACATCTCAAACTAGTGATCTAAGTAATGAGAGATATGCTGAAAATATGAAATCAAGGCGGGAATTGCAATTTCTCCCCGATAATACTGTACATTATAGGGATATAAACGAGACCGTTTCTAAAGATAGTGGTTCATTAGAACGTTATGATGAAACTTCACTTCAGGATAACAAAATTTCTGACGAGTGTTCAATAACTAGTGATAGTCTCCGAAATCCTGCACTTTTAAATAGCACCACACCTTCTGATATAAGTAATAACACTCTTACTAATTCCGCTGGCGGAATGATGAATGAAGATGGTGCTGCTCAAACTTTTCAACCCGATAGTTATAAAGCGTCTCACTACACAGAGTTACATGGGGAGCAGACGACTGGTCGAATATCACCTCAAATTGGAGAAGTTGAAACATTTACTTCTGTTGAAGCTCAAAGGAGTCCAGATTTAAGATAGAAATTTATTGCCAGAAAAAATGTTACTATAGTGCAACAATGGGAAATTAGGAGTAAAATATATGCCAAGTATCGGTTTGTTCGGCACGAGATGGTATGAGCAGTATATTGTGAACAGAGTGGTTTGCGCTGTTTAAACAACATGAAATTAAGCTTGCAAGTTCTTGCTGTTAAATAATCATTCCTAAAATGCCCATTTGGCTTTATTAGGAGAATTTCCAGATAATGATTTAGATGTAGTTACACAAAACAAAGTAACACAACAATTGAATAATATAAAATCCATACCACATGACAATTTTGGGGCATTATTGCTATGTCTCATTTGCGAATCATAGGTTTATATTTTTGAGACATGTTTTAGAGTTTTCATGACAATGTTAAATATTTTGCAAAAAAAAGTTAGTTTTTTTTACATTTTAGACAATCATTATTTTGGTTGGAACTAAGGAGCCTCGAGGTTATATTTATATCAAATTATCAGTTCCCGTCCAGAACTCAGTTTGCTAATTTGAGACTATAATTTTATATCAGGGTTAGCCTAACTTTATTTATATTTATGCAACAAACTAACTCTGCTGTGTTTTTACTGTAATAGTTTATATTATAGTGATTTATATATGATGAAGATTTTTCAACAGGATTGGAATATTACTATATATTGTAACATGAATATAAAGTATCAACAGTGTATTCAGTAATGTACTGGAATGGTATGATTGATGTTATATATAAAACCATTCTAGAATTACCAGTGTCAGGTATATTTAATGATTGCTAGCGGGGGATTGTTATATATACGTAAACACATTACTGATCCTATATCTGACTACTGTAACATCCTTAATATTTAATTGATTTAAATTCCCAGTTGTCTGAGTACATATTTATAAACTATAGTAAATGTAAACTGTGAATCTCTTTGTGGCCAGTTGTAAATCATAAAGCTACATGTATTATGTTTCATGTATAATTTTTACAGCAGATTTATACAGTAAAACAGGCTTACAATTTATTGCTTACAATTGTTTAATATATTTACCACAGGATTTATATTAATTCTTTTCAATAGAAAAATAAATAAATAGAAGTAAGAATGATTTGTAAGTTAGAATGTCCTCTAGATCTATAACTGAAACTTGTTTTTTTTGTAATCTTTAGATCTATTGCAGTCTATTATTTTGTGGAAGATTATGCTGCATAAGTTTGAATTAAAATTGAAACAAATCCTGTAAACTTGGTGATAAATACACTGTAGCAAGAGTATGTATGTTATAGTGATAAAGTTAATGTGTCACATGTACAAGATAGCCAAATAATTTTGAATGATTTTGATGTTCAGTTCTGCTGCAAGATGGAAATGTATATATAAATGTAAAAGCTTATATGTACATGTTAAAGCTAATATATACATGTAAAAACTATAAACTATCACAATTTCAACGGCCAGGACAAGTTCAAAGTTCTGTTACTCAATCTATACTTTCACAACTTCTCCACCATTTGTAGTATTAGTTAAGGTGGTGGAGATGTATAAACATAGGATAGTAATAGGACATGTATGTTCAACTAGTCTTGTAACAATACAAACTTGTATATTGTCATATAGATTATTAATGATATAAGCAATTCATTATTAATAAGTTAAGGTCGTTATTCATTGATTGTGTTATTTTCTACCTTCTCTCATTGATCTTGTAGAACAGTTGTTTGTGTTAAGAAAAACGTTATGAATGTTATCTTACTACAGAACAGAATAAATAACAGCTATTGTGTGAACAGTGCATGTATACAATCAATATTTTCTTACTTTGTTTATGAATATTTGATCTGTTATAGTGACATGGTCAGAACTACTGTACTTTTTCTCTGAGGCCATACCATACAGGCCGATATATACATAAATCTTACTTGAAAGAGACTTGAAAATGTACCCAGTGATTGATTGATGTTACAAAGGACTTGTTTTAAGTCTTCTGTTACTTGGTTATGCATTATAAAGTATGTTTTATCTTTTGATGTTAAAGTTGAATTGTTATGAAAGGTGATATTTTAAGTACTAAATTAAAATAGTTTTAGAATCTGTTTAAATTGTTCTATATTTTGACATGCATATATAGAACAGACTTATAAAATTCTTTTGTATTTTAAGGTTGTTCCAACTTTTTTGTCTCAGTGATTGATCTTTTGGGTGTGAACTCAGAAGTCAAAATTATATAGTTTGTTTGTTATGTTAAAATCTAGTTATTAGTTGTTTGTGTTTAAAAGATTATTTTGTATCCTGTAATTTAATTACTTAGCTAGTTGAAATGTTTAATTGTATTTCATTATAAATCAGCGAAAATGTATGTGTACAGTAAATCAAGCCAACGGTCTACTCACATTGGCAGAACCCGGACATAATCGTGTTTAGGATGTTATTATGAAGTCTAAAACAATATTGGCTGTCATGATACCATAGAGTTTTTAAGGTATTGTGAGTTTGATAATTGTATTTAGCCAAATTTATAAATTTCCCCATTCACCTTCTATTGGATATATATAAAATATATGAGTAATTGTTAATTTTTCATTACCAGTATATATTTTACAATATATCTCTATATCAGGTTAATTTGTTATTTCAAACTTCCTTATCTGTTACCATTGAAGACATTATTTCCAATTGTTATACCGTGTTTTAGATATTGAACATTTGAGGTTAACAGTTAAACGCCTGACATAAGAAAGATAAAACTTGTGTATAGTGTGTAACATGTGTTATAAAAACAAATGAACATATGCTATAAAAATCAACTGCATGTCCATGTATACAGAAGGTGGATGGACAAATATATATTGTCAAAATGTAATAGTCCCATTGTTTATTTCATTAAAAAATCAATTATTAATCAATTGGCTATAATTTTCAATTATTGTTAAAATATAAAGATAATGAATTATGTTGTAATTCAATGTTTTTACTTCTCAATGTGGTAAAATAGTTTATTGAATTCACATCAATTGCTAACAATCATGTATACTTTAACAATCTAATATTTATTTTTTAATGCTCAAATTTATTTAAATTTAGTTAAATTATTAATGGTTCATTTACAATAAGCTCAATATAAATATACATGTATATAAGACAACAAATCTAGATTCACATGTACAGCAATATAGATGACAAACCTAGACCAACATGTACACCAATATAGATGACAAACCTAGACCAACATGTACACCAATATACATGACAAACCTAGACCAACATGTACACCAATATACATGAGAAACCTAGACCAACATGTACACCAATATACATGAGAAACCTTGACCAACATGTACACCAATATACGTGACAAACCTAGACCAACATGTATACCAATATACATGACAAACCTAGACCAACATGTACACCAATATACATGACAAACCTAGACCAACATGTACACCAATATACATGACAAACCTAGACCAACATGTACACCAATATACATGACAAACCTAGACCAACATGTACACCAATATACATGAGAAACCTAGACCAACATGTACACCAATATACATGACAAACCTAGACCAACATGTACACCAATATACATGACAAACCTAGACCAACATGTACACCAATATACATGAGAAACCTAGACCAACATGTACACCAATATACGTGACAAACCTAGACCAACATGTACACCAATATACATGACAAACCTAGACCAACATGTACACCAATATACGTGACAAACCTAGACCAACATGTACACCAATATACATGACAAACCTAGACCAACATGTACACCAATATACATGACAAACCTAGACCAACATGTACACCAATATACATGACAAACCTAGATTCATGTATACACCAATATACATGAGAAACTAAACCAGCTTATCACTGACGCAAAAGGTACACTTACATGACAAGCTTTGTATTACATGTTACCCAGGATTCTCATGTTCACTCCTATACATGACAATACCATGAGGTACATTTACACTTCTACACAGGACAATATCATGAGTGCCATGTACACTTCTATACATGACAAAACCATGAGTGACATGTACACTTTCTAGACATGACAATACCATGAGAGACATGTACACTTCTAGACACGACAATACCATGAGTGACTTGTACACTCCTATACATGACAATACCACGAGTGACATGTGCACTTTTAGACATGACAATATCATGAGTGACATGTACACTCCTATACATGACAGTACCATGAGTGACATGTACACTTCTAGACACGACAATACCATGAGGGACATGTACACTTTTATACATGACAATACCATGAGGGACATGTACACTTCTAGACATAACAATACCATGAGTGACATGTGCAATCCTATACATGACAATACCATGAGTGACATGCATCCTTATATACATGACAATACCATGAGGGACATGTACACTGCTAACAATAACCTTTGAGTCACATGGTTATTTATAAATTATGTATTTTTTAATACATGACGTTTTGATAATTAAGAGTTTTATTATGATAATGTTATTTGACATTATGAAAATTCTGTTAATTGATATAAATTATAAATATACAAGCTTTAACACACATTATCTACCATTCTATCATTATACGACCATATATACTGGTGATATATAATGTTATATCACATATAGTCAACATTATAGTGTTAGAAGATAAGAAGTAAATAATAATATCATCCATACATCTGTCATTAATTTTACATGTCTACCAATGCAATATCAATGGTGTACACCAATCAACAATGCAACTTATTATTATTTTATTTTTTTGTAGTTTACAAGGGCTACCTTTGAAGGTATTTGATTTAATTTGTGCATTATTCAGGTGTGTCTGACCTTAGCTTATAGTATCATAAAGTTAGCATAACTTTTTTTCTAGTACAGTTACATCTCTATTGTTTCTACACTGAACAGATGGAAAACCCCCACAGGGTTTTTTAAATGTTTTAAGACTGGGTTTTTTAGGCTTCAATCATTTACCTAGAGGCTGAGGTCAAGAATTGGGATGAATTATAACTTCTGTCTAGGAAATCAACCAGGTGAAATGAGCCTTACAATCCATTGTCTGCTGCTTATTATTGACAATATGTTTTAGCCAGTAATTGTCTGTAATATTTTAAGTCCAGACTTTATAGGTAGGATCAAGTTTAATGAATGTTTGAAAAACTAAAACACCAAAAAACAGACACACAACAGTCAAATTAAATTTGTTTGTTTTTCTACATCCTTTATATTGTTCAGTTTTAAATTAGTTTTGGGTTAAAACATTTTGAATGCAAAGTTTACCTTTTTCAGTTTATTTTGTTTTTTTATAGAAACAAGTATTGTAAAATGCTCAATTTGATGACATTCCAGATCATGGCAAAAACTGACCAATTTATTTTATCTTAGTTTTAGCTGATAAAACATTATAATTAATGAATAATTGTTATAGTGCCGTTTTATCTAGATTTCAGTTATGACATTTTGTATTTTTCTAAACATTATTTTATATTTATCTGTGTCCCTATACATACCAGCAAGTTGACTTGTTCAATATACATATACTAGTATATCAGGGTCTTTCAAATGTAAATTCCTAGATACTTGTATGAACTATTTTTGAACTAAAGCTAAACTTTATGATTGTTGAATTAGTATGCTTGCTTTATACCGCTTACTGTGATGATGTATAAATGTGGATAAAATGTCAAATATTTACTTTTTGTTATTATGTTAAAACAGTTTATTGTGTTTAAAATGTTAATTAAAGACTAATCTATGACGACATTACATTAAAAGCTTTGTTTATTTATTGTGTTTTTCTTTTGATCTATGAATCCCTACATGGTTTGAAGTTAATGAGTAATATGGTATTGCAGTATGGCACTAATTTTATGACTTTCACAATACTTTAGGTAATGTTAATAGTATCAGTTTGCATGTAATAGGCGCACTATTCACAGTACATGTTTAAATACAATTATTTCATACACGAAATTCGGGACAGTTATATTGTACAGAGAATGAGTGCTTTCATATTTATTAGAGCAAAATAATTAATTCCCTAATTTATGTGAAATTATCAGCATTGATACGTATGTTATATCTGTCATGATGTAACACCTACCCTAATATATACTTAACTTACCCTATATATCACATTCCTGGTCACACAGGGTGATTTATATGGTATTGTAATCGAGATTTGAAAAGTTTCGAATGCCCTACTGTGTCATCTTTTGTTACTCGGCTACACCTATATATCTACTGTTTATTTGAGAAGGGAATTCGGTCAATTGTTTATTTACGATCATTTATTTGCTCTAGATTCTGGCATCTTTACACTTTATACATTTAAACACAAACACAGGATAACTGTTTCAAGATTGAATATAAATTATCAGTAAATGAATGACAAGTTTAAGGTACAGGCGAGATCTTGAACAGACGCATATTTGTTACTATCATAATAACTGGTAAACAGCTGCAGTCAGTTTAATGTTTGTTTACGTTACTGCCTCAAATACAGAAGTATTTCAATACTAAAATACCCGCGACAACCCCCGAACGTATCTCAATGGAGATCAAAGTGTATTTACAGAAAAGGCATTCGATTAGTTAAATTTAGATATCGACATATAACTTTATATATTTGAAATGTTAAACTGCACTCAGTATATATTGGAATTAAAAAAGTAAAAGGAAATACTTTAAAAAATCACGAGATATAAATCTTTGGAAAAATGATTTTTGATGTTGATTAATGGCAGCATCCCCTTTTTGGGAAGTCATGCACAATTGGAAAACAAATATTTTCAGTTGGTTAAATACTTTGATATATTGCTATAGCTTACCCTTTAATATTACTAAAATACAAAACGCGCAATGGGAACAATTTAAAATATTACATCGATTTTACTAAATCTCTACCTTTACATACTATTTTCTCCCCTGTAACGGGAAGATGAAAGCGCTGAATGCTTCTGAATGAAGTTATAGTTTGTATCAGAAAAATATATAGACTCAAAATTGAATGAAAATGAAGTGATTCACGTTTTAAACTAGAAGTTAAATCATAAACATTGTCGGAGATCAATCTTTTTCAGTGAATTCCGACGACTTGCCCTTTTCCTTCAATGTTATTACACTCTTATATAGATTTTATAGAATGGAATTTGTAGTTGGGAGATTATTTTATTTATAACTATATATTACTTTGTCCTGACTGAAATACTGCAAGGTCCCAGGGGATGTATCTACTGCATCAATGACGACGACGACAACGACAACAACAACAACAAATCTGCTGTTTCATACCTACTAATATAAAAGCCGGTATGACTGTTTTACAAACACCCTGTTACCTGGTCAATCATCCCAACAAGAAAACTGTTAACGACTACAAATAATGAACCAATGTAATGTCACATTATACCACTGTTGACAATACTTTGAATAATGTTTGAGAAACGTGGCTCTTAGCAAATACTTCTATGAAGTTTAACTAAATTGGTCACAATCAGGATATCTGATATTAGTTACACAAAGACTTGGTCGTGCATATATTGACTACTTGTATTTGCTTTATTGAGTGTTTCACCATAAACGCAAATTTGTTTTCCAACAATTGTAAAACCGTTTCTACTTTCGTCGTTTGATCAGTGATCACGTTTTTAAATGAATAGTGTTACCATTATTTTCTGTTTTAAGATATTTTGCAATGACTAAGTGCTGACCCCAATCGTTCAAGAATTTCATCACAGAGGTAGATATGCCTAATTATTCCTTAAGGGGGTATTGTTTTGATGATGTTGTCCGTCCGTCCATCCATCCATCCATTCGCCCGTCCGATTTCCGTTTCCGCGTTATTTCTCAGCAACTATATCGACTGGATTTCAATGAAAACTTGTAGAAACATTAAATACCAACAATGGATGTGCATATAATTTACATGACCAAGTCGAACCAAACAACTCAGAATTATGGCCCCTGATTGGATATGCAGTATGGAAACAAAGAAATATCCTAATCCGTGCTATTTCTCAGCAACTACTTTTCTGATTGGATTTCAATGAATATTCAATACCGCATAATCTCGGTATGCTGTGGTCAGACCATTTAACAAATAGTTATGGCCCCCGATTATTTTGCAGTATATGTAAAGGGTGGCACTCGTTCCCGTACAACATGATGAGTTATTTAATCATGAGCTTCTGTGCAAGATCTTACGTGCACTTCCGGTTAGTAATAACCAGTACTCAGCGTCGGGGTTATTAATTCAATGAATTTGCTTGCTGCATGCATGAATTAGGGAAGCAAAAAGATTTTCCAATAGAGAATTATATTTAAATGCGTGAGCGTATGCTCAGAACAACAGGTAATAGAGATGATTATTCTATATTTATACGACTACGTTAGTTTGTACCTCATTCAACAGACAAATAAATATTAAAGCGAGGACATAAGACCCAAGTTTAAGGTTGCGAGTTTTTGACAGCACATTGCACCTAACACGTCAACATGCATGCCAATTTTCTGTTTTATAAAGTTCTGAATATCAGCTTTAAGAGTCTGGTTCTTGATGCATATGAAATGCATGTATAAGTCAATCAGCTATACTATGTTTATTCAAAACATAACAAGAATTACTTTAATATTAGATGGGCGAGAATATGTTTAATTTTCAGCACATTGTTTTTAAATACCGTTTACACTACCCCTGATCAGATTAAAATTCTGTATAAGTTCACTATTTGTTCATAAAATAAGATGTGTCAGTCTCTTTATCTAGACATTGGGATCATAAAACACCCCATATATTTACCTACTGTACATGAACTTAGTCATCGGAAACAATAGGGTTATCAAGGGAATGTCTTGAGTAAATATATGGGTGAATATTATTAGGACATCACAGGTGCGGTAGCCCCAGAGTGTAATCGGTTCTAGTAAAACCCACTGGAGTCAAAACCAAGCAATGGCAAGTCCTATAGATACTCCTATACGTACCTTGTCAAATTTAAACAGCATAATTAACTAGAACAACGCTAGCAACGTCATTCCAAATTATACTCAAGTGTGATACAGATTTTTCTATTGGGTCGTATATGTACATGTAAAACATGCATAAATATGTATATGTACATTTGTATTTCATAAAATGAAATTTCATCAATGTGACCATCGACGACATATGTATTAGAACAAAGGATCTGAAATACCGCCACTTTGCCCGTCTGTTATATGACTTGCTGTCCTTGATTAAAGGGAGACTAATCAAAAATCAACAGTTAAAACATTTTATTTGATATAGAACAAAATTTTATGTAAAAATAGCGTATAAAATCGAATCACAGTTCTTAGAAAACAGAAACACATGCAAATTATACAATGGACGGAAGTTACAGACATGACGGACGATAATATCGCCGAACCAGCGGCGATTGATGTACCTATATCATACATTAATACTTGGATTATAAAAATAGTATCTTCCCAGAGACCGGGCTTTACAGCATTAACATAATATAACCATTATAATACATTGTATTTTGAATCATATGATTTATGCACATATACCTTGAAATGCGATTTTTTATACATGAATAGAATCAAGACAATACTTTAGAAGTTTAAGGCAACATGCTGAAATTATTCTTACAACATCGACTCCACAGATTCATGTTTCCCAAAAGTTTTTCATATAAATTTAAAGTATTTGCAAACGCCTAGATTATGCTTGATAAAATAATCTAATTAATGTAATAAAGTCTAGTTTTGTAATTTATTCTAAAATAAAACTGATATGAAGCAATTTGTCTCCCCCACACCACCCCTTTCATTATTTCTTGTCAAGTGGCATTTTAACCGTTTAAAAACAAAGAATGAAAAAGATGGCTCAGATTAAATTGAGCCTTAAAGTATCGAACTAGTGCTAGAGGTTTTACCGGATTAGTAAAAAAAAATATACTATACTCAAGTTAGCAAAAGGTTGTAACAAAATCATTAGTCATTGCAACTTCCTTTAAACAAATACAGGTAAGCTAACACATGACATTGATAATCAATTGAAACCTTTTGAAAATATTCCCAAGTTTTCCTATTTACTTGATCATCCCAACGCTTCATGTTCTTACACTGCCGGTTTAGTACTGTCATTGTTAATGGTACTATCTAGAATAGAATCTTCTTTCGGTTCTTGAAAATGTACGTGTAAATCATGATGATGATGCTCTGCTCCCTCATGAATTAGAACAGGGCGCGTACGCAATTCCGGAAGTACTTGTCTCGCGGATGTGTCAGCGGAAGTGCTGTCAATGTCGTCGTCCGGAGGAACTGATTGCTGAGACAAATTACTACTACGTTTGCGTCTTTTCTTTTTCTTTCTTTTCTTTTCAAGGAACCTTAAAAGAAAATAGTATATGTATTTTCAGATTTTAGCACGAACTTAAAAACAGTAATCTAATCGAAGTAAAACTTCAAGAACAGGTGATAAAAAGCGAATGATGAAAGAAACGCGAGACAGTGCATTAATATTGAAAAAAAACTGTAAAAAACTGAGCGCAAAGCATCAAATAATCTTATGAATACAGCTTTGTTAAAATATTGAAAATACATGCATAACTGAACATGCAATTAAACCTTTGCAGGATGTCTTAAAAATGGGGATGAATTAAACAAATTTTAAACAGATAAAACGCAGTATGATGATAGTAAAGGTTGTGCTCAAAGGTTTAGTTGAGGTATAAATAAGAACATGCATCTTAGTTAGGAATATACATATTAAGGGTTTTGTCTTGAGGTAGGAGAACTTTACATATTAGGAAAAAAACATATTTGTAAGAAAAAATAAGATATTCATACCAATACTATTTTTTTATCCTCTACCTAAATCAAACAAGTGATAAACACAAATAAATTAACAAAAAAGAAAACAATTACTACAAAATAAGCAGGGAACAAAATAATAGAAATACAATTTTGCATTGTTCAAAATGTTTTTTTAAGATTTAACTATATAATACCGTTTATTAGGCAAATATTGTGTGTATATATATAACATTCAGATCTCAATATTGTCAAATAAAAACAACGTAAGCATCATTAGCTAAGCTATTGTAGATTAAGAAGCTAAGTTTTTACCTTATCATTCCTAAGATACATCAAATGATTCAGACACTGTCGTTTAAATGAACTGATAATCTAATTAGATATTTTAAAGATTTTCATAAGAAAACAAAATCAAAACTTATGAATGGATGGATATAGCTCAATTCTTTCTGATAATATCTAAATGTGCACGTACATTATCATTTATTATAATCTGGAATCAATTTTGAAGTGACATTATGTCCATCAAAATGTAAATTGTGAGTGTACTGGTAGCCAAAATTGTTATCAATGTTATATTCTTCTTTGTAATAAGCAATTACTCGTGAAAAGCCAGGGAATTATTATAAATTTTAATCGTAATTTATTTGTAACATTTACTTGATTAAATATGGGAAAGCCTATTTATACTTAAGGCAGTCTTAGAGTTTATTTTAACATTTGTCATCCACGATCATTGTTTAATCTTTATTGTAATAAGCCAATCTTTTGTGATAAAATAGCTAATTCAGCTAAACAATGAGCATAATGCCACTTTGTATATACATGTATATATTTATTTTTTCTTACAGTGTGTAACTGATCAGAAGCAAAGGGTTATTGAAAAGTAACTATAGCTTTTTTATATATGAGCCGCATCATGACAAAACCAACATAATGGGTTTGCGACCAGCATGGAACCAGACCAGCCTGCGCATCCGCGCAGTCTGATCAGGATCCATGCTGTTCGCTATCAGTTTCTCTACTTGTAATAGGGTTTGTAAGCGAACAGCATGGATCCTGATCAGACTGCGCGGATGCGCAGGCTGGTCTGGATCCATGCTGGTCGCAAACCCATTATGTTGGTTTTGTCATGACGCGGCTCAATTATTATTCTTAGCTTCAATTTTATCAACGTTATCGAGTAAAATAGCAATGTATTTCGGTTTCAAATAAATATCAAATTTCTGATAGTCAATAACAAATACGTGTAGTTTCAAAAACATGTATGGGGTTGTGCATAACGCTTTGTTAAAAAGTAAGTTTATGAAAAAGCACGTCTAATATCTATTTAAAATAGAAAATGACAGTTTCACCCATACTCCGCTGGAACCATTGATAAGCACATGGCCTGGATACACATGACGCCTGACCAGGCTCTATACTGTTGCCAGCACATTCATTTACATTTTGATATCAAAATCCCTTAAACTTTGAATGGACTATTCCATAGCTCATTCTTTTGTATTTTGATATCTTAAGCCCTTAAACTTTGAATGGACTTTTCCAAATTCCAAACAGGGCAAACTCATTTCACAAATTCAGCAGACAAAGGGTTTAAGTCCATCTACGACAACATTTACCTTATAAGGAAGGAAAATTGTAAAAAAAAATATCTGAAAAGACATGCTTACTACAAAAATCCTCCGTCCATATTTGCGCCGACTTAACAAAATAAAGAAATATGTTTAAACTTTAAAGATAACTTAAAACAATCAAATAAATAAAGTTATTTAGAAGAATTTTATTGTAAAAGAAAGGCCCTGACGAATTTAAGACTTCAAGTTACACCATCTTGCCGTGCCAGCTTAAATTAAACTAAAAAACCTAACATTTATGTTCAGAGAAAGAGTTTAACGTTGTTAATGTTAATCATGTTAGTATTTTAGTTGAAGTGTCCCGTTTTGTTTTAAACAACTCATCTTTGAAACATTGCAACACCATCAATCCTCGCGTAAAAGTGAAACAAAGAGGTGGCATTTGTGAAATAAACAATTAAAATATGAAATCAACTCACTTTGTTTTTTCTGTTCCACCATCACTAGACAGATCACGTGACCCGGAAGTGTTCACAGTCTCTGCTTCCGCTACAATACTGGCTGTTACCTTAACCTGTCCGTGCATTGTTCTTTCTACGCTAAAACTAAAATTACTATCTGCTGTTTCAATAGGTTCTGGTCTTTTCTTGTGTTTTGTTTTAGTTTCTAGCTCAGCATACGAAGGCGGAGGAGCAAGTGGCGTTGAACTGTCTTTGTGTTTCTTTGCAGTTCTTGAACTCGCCTCCGCTACTTCCTTTTGCTGTGTTGTGCTCCTTGTTGTTACTTTCCTCTCTAATGCAGCATTTTCTGAACATGTTTTATTTGTTTCTTTTTTAACATTCGTTGTTTTGGATTCGTGAGTAGACACCACGCGGTGTAAATTAGGCGAGTCGCGATGACTGACTTTATTGTTAGGTTTTGCACTTTTTGAATAAATATCATTTTCATACCCGAGATTTTTACTTCCGGTGATCATGGAAGATGTTGGTGATAGATGCTGTTCAATGTCGGCGCTGATTACTGGCCGATAGCAACACTTGAGCACTATACCGGAGATGAGCAAAAGTACGGCAAAAGATAGAATCGCAATTCCGGCAATATGCCAGGCACCAAATGTTGGAAAGGAGCTTTCGTTGCCATAGGAACCAACAACTGTAAGTACTACCCCTGGAACTAGTAATGGAACGCTGAAACTAACGAAACATGGGCCCATTAACGTCTTGTAATCATGATATTCTATGATCTTCATTTTCATACAGCCCTGATTCTCGTCATCAGACATTACATATAAACGACCGGCTTGTACACGTTAGGTTCTGAAAAGAAAAGAAAACAAAAGGTTGATTATTTCATTAAATTAGGAAAAAGAACTGATTTAAGAGAAAATAACAAGACACTTGTGAGACTTTGTAAAAAAAAGAACAACAACAAAAACCCGGTATTATCTATTCAGTCATGACGGTGCTTACATGTAGTTCCCGAAACACGTTCATAAAAAACATATAAGGCAACAATAAAGTCTTCTAACCATTATTATTAATTTGTATAAAATGATCAAACAATTTTGAAAATACCTGTACACACTCTAATATCACAGACAATTTTGTTTTAAGAGCGTCTTGCTACACAATAAAACATATTTGTTACATTTTTTCACGTGAATTTTATAAATATTTTTGTACAAAAAAATTTCTTTTCTATGCCTGTATATATATATTTAAACACTTGTAATGAATTTCCGAATATTCCTGGAACTTTTAAAACTGTCCTACTGTCAATTTGAGTACATCCTTTTTGTTGATATGACTGTGATAATGTGATATAAAGATAATGATAACATACATATCTTCCTCACCTTGTTATCACCTCAACCTGCCGACAATCCGATCAATAACCCCTCGAGAACACATCGGACCAACCTTTTTTCTTACGTATTTATTTCTAGATGGAAATCTAAATCGATTTGCAGGTTTATATGTTCCTTTTAAATATTAATTCATCGATTTTATAGCAACCCCTGTACAAGCTGCTCAATGGTAAATTCTCTATAGAGCTGTACTTATAAATAATTAATAAAATAAACAATAGAATGTATAGGTCGGTATTAGGCCTCCATTCTGCTTCCTTTCTCTAATGGGTACGCAATGCTTTAATGGTAACTAAGAGCTGAGGATAAATTAGAAATATTTACAGTCTGGTGATAGTTTTATGTTACGAGTATAAAGCTAATTATATATACATGAATGAACTAGTTGTTATAGCTGCAATCAAATCTCATCAACAAGTGTGAAATATGAGAATTAAAATTTCAGCTTTAAATATTTTACACGTCTCGACATGCTGAACGTGCATTGAAACTGTATTAATTTTGACGTGCTTCAAATGTTGTCTTCATCTTCAGCTTCCATAAAATATTGTTCTCATCTAAGCGTGTGTAGAAAGTTATACAAATCTAAGCTAGCTAAGAATTATGTTCTCACCTAAGCTTTATTAGAAAGTTGTTCAAATCTAAACTTGCTAAGAATTATGTTTTCAACTTAGCTTTATAAGACAGTTATACAAATCTAAGCTTGCAAAAAAAATTTGTTCTCATCTATGTGTGTTTAGAAAATTATACAAATCTGAGCTTGCTAAGAATTTTGTTCTCATCTATGTGTGTTTAGAAAGTTGTACATGTACAAATCTGAGCTTGCTAAGAATTTTGTACTCATCTATGTGTGTTTAGAAAGTTGTACATGTACAAATCTGAGCTTGCTAAGAATTTTGTACTCATCTATGTGTGTTTAGAAAGTTGTACAAATCTAAGCTTGCTAAGAATTTTGTACTCATCTATGTGTGTTTAGAAAGTTGCACATGTACAAATCAAAGGTTGCAAAGAATTATGTACTCATCTAAGCGTGTTTAAATATTTTTCAAATATAAGCTTCCTAAGAATTTTGTTTTTTCTATCGTCTGAGCGTGATAAGAATGTTGTGCTTATTTAAGTCTGTTTAGAATGTCGTGGCTAGAACATACAACAGTAGCTCTAGATAATTATAGTCGTATCTTTATACTCGTAACACATATCGAACCTATGTCTACAAATAAATACTTAAATTACTGACCTATCACTTTGTTTTCATTAGTTATCATTAACACAACTTTATATGAATTGCTGTTAAGGTTGTTCTTGATAACTAATGTTATACAAAATTTGTCACGTGATAGCTTTGTTTGCCGATACAATTTGGGTGGTCCTATTATGGGAATAGCCAATGTTACAGTCTAACGTAAATCAATGCACGCCCTCATTAACAGAACTAGAAATTTAACTAAAAGTCAAGTTAAATTAATATTGAATAAATTAAACTTACTCTAAATGTCGGGTTCAAAATCCAATCCTTTTATGTATAAGACATGCGCATTTTCTATTTGTACTGCCATTTTGGACCATCTTCGATAACATATTGAAGATTTACTTAGTTCCGCATCAAAGGATAAGACCGGGTCATTAAGTCTATCTAAAGCCCATAAATGATCGTAGTTTACATCGCGCCAAGTAAGGTTGTTGTTAGCAACCTGTAAACAACGGGCAAGCACAGGGGAGATAACCTGATGAAAACTATTCCGACATGCTTAATGATCACAAAAATATTTTTGAGAAGAAAAAAGAAGTACTTTTCAATAAGGACCCTCACATAAACTCTCATAAAGGTACTTAAATTTGTGACTAAGGTACTACTTGTAATAGGTAGATGTGTAATTGCTCTTATTCTTCGAGATTCAAATTATAGATCTACAACTCGAAAAGATAACTTTATCTAAATCAAAAGACGCTATGAGATTATATCATGTTAAATTTTGGTAGATCAATCAATTTTAACAGGAAAATATAGTCACTATGATATTCTAGCAACGGGTAAGCTATACACGTCACTTATCTCTGTTCTAAGTTGCCATTTTAAAAACACTAAAGTAATCTTTTTTTTTATATTTCATTAGACAACGAAAGAATGAGGTAGATAAAGAACATAATAAAGATAAAACATCCTCTATTCCGGTATATAACGGAATATCTAGCTCTGTTGTTTTCGGCGTCAAAGAGACTGTCGAGTTTCCGCTCATCAGTTACTCAAGTTACACCAGCTGTCGTTAGCAGACGGCATTCGGATAACTATTTAAAGACACCCAGGAGAGCCAGACAGTTACTTTCGGGTTTGATATGCCGGTGAAAGATTTTAATATTCTTGCACGGGTGTAAACAGCAGAAAATCCTGTCCGATATGATAGAACTTGCGTTATGCTCCACCTGTCACTTTCCGTTAATTACAATTTACGTCTCAATTTATCAGAGACTATAAAATACAAGTAGAGATTTTGATGCTAAAGCATCAAGTCGCCGGATAGAAAAATGATTGTATTATCATAAATATAAGAAAATATAAGTTTAATGGTTCAAGTATTAAAATAAGAGGAACAATGAGTTGAGTAATGTTTGCCACTGAGGCTTGTAAGGCAAGTGCTATGCTGGTAATTCTTCTTGTAAATATACTGTTGTACCATACATTGAAATCTGTATAGGTTACTAGTTCAGATTCAGATAATTACCAATCATCGAATATTTGCAAAGTGACTATGAAAATATATATGTTTAATTATTTTATGAAACAATACAATTTTACTGTAAAAGTGTTGTCGTCATTATTATGTGCTATAGAAAAAATATATAATTTAGTTGAAATCAATACATGTATTCCCATCGTTACATACGATATATAAAATTAAATTAAATTTAATTGCCTTTAGTGCGATAAACTTTCAACACAAAGATAGTTTTTTGGTGTTTTTTCAATGTATCTAATACGATTCCGGACCCCTAACGTCATACCGTTTTGGAAACCTGCGTGACGGAAACCGACGGAATATACCGAAATCAACGATTACCATTATATATTTCAATAATTAATGTGCCTCTTAAGTATAAAATTATTTTGGGATGTTCAACCTTAACTAAACTATTAAACTTTCTTGTCGAAAGTTTGACAGAAAGGGCCAAAGTTTAACCCTTTACCAAGAAGAAAGGAAAAAGTTTTGAAAATTTATTTTTAATGTGTAAAAAATGAGTAAACAGGTTTTTCTAATGATATAAATATTATAAAGTATGAAACTGATTAATGAAAAATAACTTATGTAATTATCTGTACAAAATTACAATGATTTGCATCTTATCAGCTACCACACCAACCATTAACAAGTTACCTGTATGTCTTATCAGCAATCTGTTACTATTAATAGATTTTATAACGATATACAACATATATAAACATGTAGTCACGTGTTTCTTACGAAAGACCAGGGAGAATGTGTTTATAATTAGATAAAATAATGTAATATAATAGGTGTCGTAAAATATAAACAACCAAATAATTTTAAAGTGTTATTTCAAATATCATTTATGATTTATATAATATAAAATAGCAATGCTTGACACATAGAAAAAAGTAAAAGTAACCATAATATTCAATGACTGATCCTTGGGGATACGTTATTGATTCATTTTATGAAAATTGTAATGTTGCTTTTTAAGATGTCAATATGTGCATATTTCATTTCACTTAGCAAAGTTATCATATGCTTGAATTTTTGAGATTACTGAAAAATAATTGTTGTCTTTAATTGTTCAATGATTGATATGCTTTTATTTTCAGATTTTAAGGGCTTCTCCTACCATAGGTATAATATTAAACTGTTACAAATATAGTCGCCGGTTTCTACCGGCGACTAATGAAAAACAAGATCAACAAGGAAAGGCGGCGTTCAATGAACGCAACCCCCATATTATAATTGAACTGTTTACATTATATATGATGAAAAAACAACACCCTGTACCCTTCTTTATTAACTTCACATCCTCAAATTATACATAAATCTTATAATGTATCATTAAATGTTCAATTGCTGTAGCCAATATACAGTACGTAAACGTCGGGATCTTCTGCTGTTTTTAAAATAAAATCTTGAATATATTATAATTATGGGAATATACAGAGAAACAACTCAACACAATATGTCAGCTTATTCTAATTTAAACCAAAATCATTCATTAAAAACATAATTTTTGTAGACTTTCTCAAAATAAAATATAACGATGTACCCATATGAACTCGGGAATGGTCCCCCGTATTGACGCATTTTAATATTTCATAGCTGTATATATGTATTGTATTTTTCGCGGTCGATATCATCCGAGCCGACACGTTTAAAACTAAAACTCTTAAAAACTATAAAGATCTTACACCGGCTGCCAGCTCTGACTGGAATATCAACCTCGAGGGTAACTGTTTACGGCAAGGCTCTTCCGAGTTTCCGCTAACAGTTATCCGAGAGCTACATATCCCCGTCCGTGACGACAGCCGAGAGTTGAATTCTAGCACCGACGTAAACAGTAGATAATCCTGTCTTATATGCAAGAAAGAAGCAAAGTATCGCACTCAAATAAATAAATAGCCAGGTGGTCTTTAACCGCATTTTCGCCTTATTGTTATTGTAGCTTTCTGATTGCACGTGAGGCGCAAAGTTTCACGCATTTGCATTTTTCACATTTCAATATGAAATCACACCAAGCATTTGAACCAAAAACTTAGGCTATTAATATAAAAGTCAAGTTACATTTTTAATAAATCAATGTCAAATGAAATCAAATCTCTGTAAATGTCATATTATTATCGGGTAGTTACTTATAGTTTTTTATGTATTAAACAGTTATTCATGTATAGCAATCATAATGTTAGTTCTATCAATGTATATTTATCACACTGTTGTGACGGTAATACTCGGGTGAACTTTTGTTTGACGGAATGGTGAGAATGATGACGTTTTTTCTAGTCTAGGTCGTTGTTCCGTCCCTTCAGCAGGTTCGTTGGCAAGTGACATCTCTCGTGCCCTTTGTTCATCTTCCAGAGCTTCACTGGTCTCGCCAGAGTTACTTCTGATAAAAATACAAACAAGAAAGCGTAAACATAGCACACTGATTGATCCGTTTAATTCTTGCGAATCGCAATAGTCTTCTTCAACATATACTTGTTGTTTTCTCCGCTTGAAATAAAACCAGAGTTTCTTAAAATCGGTTTTGTGACTTAGAATGTACCCGTTCATAATGCAAAGAAGGCCTATGACTATCAGTACAGGACCGACGTAAGGAAAGGAGCCTATAACGTTACGTTTGGTGCCAGTGTATGCAACAATGGCAAATATTACACCAGATAATAGTAGTGTTAAACCGACTAATACCAGCACAGCTCCCACACCTTGCTGTACATCTTCGCTGAGTGGTAACTGACATACTCTTGCAAGAAATCTTCTCTGTGACGTTTCTTTTTGAAAATTCATTCGGTTATGGCCATCAAAACTTGCTAGATATTCCTGTCCCTGAAAAAATCAACTTTCTATGAATAATTTTGATTGCATTTAAGTAAAAATTGGCAACCAGCTAAAAACACAGGCACTCTTCCTCAATCAGTAAACAAATGAGTCTTACACAAAGCAAAAATAAAATTGTGGGCCAGACTTGAAGTCTTAGCAGCTCTTTGTGTTAGCAGCTCAGACGTTACAGAAGCATGTCTGTGACAAAGGATACCAAACATGTATTGTTAACAAATAATCATATATTAAAACACCACGAAAAGATGCCAAGAGCATTACTTTACGAGAACATTACAAGTTGAATCCGCCTTTGTGAGCAAGTCATAAGACATACCCTTCAAGAATGTGGTGAAAATTTGCTTAGAACTTTGAAATTTCCAATCTTCCATACAATACAGGTACCAAAGTCGATCAAAATAAGTTTAATGAAATGGCAATCATGGCATATTCACTAGACGATACATTCTGCCAATTAGTCTTGTATTTTTTCTGCTACTTGTCTGTTTTGCTTTTTAACAATTTGCGATGAAGCGATACCTTTAACGTAAATTTACATTAATCTATATATTAAAACAAACGATTAGATAATGAATATCACTGACCGTTCTTGTTAATATCCATCTGTTTTCCCCGTCATGTTACAGGTGTCACAACATTAAAGTACCGTGACGCCAGTCAGCTTAAAGCATTTATCGACAAGTTCCATTTTCACTGTTTAGATGTATTGATCATAGCTGTACGGTCGATAAGTCGTTTACGCTCTTATGATAACTGGTTAATGTTGTCTTTATATAACGTAGAAATTAAACTGGGAAGGTGGGGTGGGTCAGAAAATTTCCTGTGTAATGCTTGGGTTGTACCGTTTTCACAAAAAAACTAAATCTTTGGAGCTTATATATTTTCTTATCTTATTCAGCCAACCAGACTAACTCTTGTTTATGACATCCTAGAATTATTTCTCTATTGTATCATCACAAATATGGTTCAAGATATGTTGATTAACCTAAAGTTTAATATAATCAATTAAACAATATTATTGCAGCCTTTGAAAGAGTAATATACTGAAATGGTAAAAATAAAAACTTTTTGATTGAATAGATTTAAGCTAAGATGTTAAAGCCTAACCGTACACGGAATGTTTGTTTAAAAAGTTAAAAACAGAACAAATGCTCCAAGAACCAGTAACTAAATAAAGTCATGGTTTCGTAAATTTAACTTTAAAGGTAAATGTCATTTAGACATCAAATCGAAGCTCTTGTACAAAGTGTAGAATGTAAGAAGATTCTAGCTTAAAGAATATATTAAAACATTAGTTGAAAGTTGTCTGCACAGTTATAGAAAGGAAGATAGGACAACTAGAAATGCGCCCATAAGACACGGGTACCCCACATTCCACTGTTCTGTCAATCTTATGACACTAAATCAAATATTTTTGGGCTACATGTGCCACAAGTTGAAAACTAAACATCTTTTACTATGTAAAGGGCAAAAACTTTACAAATACTGACTAAATTCACAAGCAAACCCTAAGGTGCATAAGTGCACGTGCTGACCAACATTCTTGTAAACTTTCAGGCCTACAAGTCAAATACTTTTGAGCTATGCACAAACAAATTGAAAATTTATACTAAGTCAAGGCAATGACTATAACAAAAGTGAAAAAATCCACATGCAAAATACTACATGTAGATGCATAGCTTCACAGTGATGTTGATTATTCCTTAACAGATGGTTGATTCTAACTCAAGTGCTCAAAGGAACAAATAACACAACATAATGGAACAGCTTTTACTAAGTCAAGGGCAATAACTCTAGAAATACTGGATAAAGCCACAAGCATAACCCAAGGTGCACAACTACACATGGTAACAAATAGTCCTATTAGGTTTCATGACTCTTGGTCAAAAACTTTTTGTGCGACACAAGTTGAAAATTGCAAATTTTTACTAAGTCAAAGGCAATATAAGACAAAACAGAATAAATTCACAAGCAAAACCCCAGGAGCACAACTTAACATGCTGATCAACATTCATATAAAGTTTCATGACTCTAGGTCAAATACTTTTCGAGTAACGTGTGACAAGTTGAAAGTTTTTACTTAGTCAAGGACAATAACTCTACAAATAGTAATTAAATTCATATGAAAAATACCCAGGTGCACAACTACACATGCTGATCAACATTCCAGTAAAGTTTCATGACCTTAGGTCAAATACTTTTGAGCTATGTGTGACACAAGCGGAAAATTGCAAATTTTTACTAAATCATGGGCAATAACTCTGACAAAACAGAATAAATCAAAAAACAAAACCCCAGGTGCACAGCTACACGTGCTGATCAACATTCCTGTAGCTTCACGACTCTAGGTCAACTAGTTTTTGAGTTGCCTGCAACACAAAATGAAAGTGGGGGCACAACAATAAAAGAATATACCTCTTCTACTGGTGATAAAGGAGCATCAAAATACTTTTAAGAAAAATCTTCAAAAATTCATACTTATTTTAAAAAATCTTTATTTCAAAACTCAACAAGATCATGCATGGTTTTCACATAAATTATACAAATATAAGAAAATATCATGCAATGACATTATATAAACATCTGTGATTTAAGGTAAATAAACACAAACATTTACAAGTTGTGTTGGTGCAAAAACAAACAAAAGTAGAAAAGTTCAAAAAAGGGTCATGAAATCAAATGTTGTGAAATTTGACCTCCTGAATTTGTTATGATCCTCCATATACATTGAAGTTTCCTGGATAGCTTCGTCTAAAGTCCCTGGTAATGCCTGGCTGTTACTACATGCATTAACAAATAAATAGTAACAATAACGTTTTACCCAACTATAATAAAATTCTGGCTTGTTTAACAACAGTATTTCAAATATCAGGAACACACACAATACAAGACATAACATATAGCACATATAGCACAATTCATCTGATTCACTAATTGCTTCTACAAATAATAAACATGTTTCTACCCCTGAATTTACATAACATTTCTGATGGGAATCAGTATATACAGTATAATATTTCTATAACTGAAATTTAAGGACTTGCCTAAGAATCTAGTATTTCATAGTGCTACTAGAATTTAAATTCATTTTAATGTTCTGAACACCAAATGTAAAAATCATGAACACTGAATAGGTCAATAGAATAAATATACATTATAATCATAATAAACAGATATAACAACCTATTGTTAATTGTCTTAAATATAAACCTTTATAAAAAAAAAATTGCCCAATTACTTATATTTGACATATCTCTTGTTTCAAACACCATCATTTCAATTTTTTTCCAAAATGTCAAAAATAATTCATGTTTCAATTAAAATATTACACACTATAAGTTTTAATATCAAGTTGACATAATCTATAAATAGAATGAAGACAAAACCAAAATAGATCATCTGATTTGGCACATGTACAAGTTCTTGTTTAAAATATATGTTTGAATCCTGGCGAAGTGCCGTAACTCATAAGGTCAGTTTTATCTACAAGACTGGAGGACATGGTCTCCATGTCGACTGGTGCTGAACAACGAGTGTCTTCTGTAAACATTTCATCATCATCTTCCTATAATATAAATATATATCAAACTTATAAATATATACAATATGTCAATTAATGTTTTGCATTTCTGTCTTTTAAAAGTAAATAACCAAAGTTAAATAGAAACTTTAAATGACATTATGCCCATCCAAATGTAAATGAAATCAAAATAACTTGACATATTGCCATTTTTTGTGTTTAATTTTTATATTTTACTATCAAAAAATAATCATAAAATGATGTGATGAACTGAAATTCTATAAAGTAAATATCATTCAGCAGTATGGGTAATACTCAATTATCAAAAATAGTGGAGCTGTCATTTTATAATTTAGGTTGATTTTATATTGTATAATAATTATTTTCTGATAACAAATACTGGTCAGTCACCATCATAACGGCCAATCTGTTGGGATACATGTATTATATAAATTAAACTCATCTTTGCAGCAAAATAGGAGCACACTCATCTGTTAAGGGTAACTACTATCAATAACCAACTTTGACAAATATTCTAAGTAAAAAATAGGCATGACTCGAAAAATTTTTATATAGCTTTAAGAAGACTTCCCCTTGTCTAACAACATCACCATGCAATGCCAAGATAAGCAAGTATTTCAAGTTTCATGTTGATAACTTTTAAAATGTTTGAATGATGGACTACATTAAAGGTTTTGTGTGACAACGAAAATTTAGCATCATAACACCTCGACCTTATCTCCGAAACAGACAACAACTAAATAACACCTATAATACAATCAATAATCACTTCAAAATTTACAACAGCAATGTATAAAGATCCATTACTGACCCATTGTGTAAACTTTGTACCAATCCCATTAAAAGGACAAAATTTGTAGGTTTCATATAATGAATGTCAATTGTTAAGTAAATAACTATTCTTTTCTTGTCATGTTCAATACAGCTCATCCAATAAGTCAATATAAAACCTGAACACTTTCTATCATTAAAAGAGTAAGGTAAGTAACTGTGAATAAACTGTGGAAATGTAATTATGTGTACAAGAATTACCTCCCCTGACGAGTCATCATCTACAGGTAGACTTTGATCATATTCCCGGTAATGTGGCTCTATATACTTCATAGACCTGTTATATACAAACAATTCATTTATAAAACATTATAATTTGTTAAGCTGAACTTAAAATTCTTTTTCCTTACAATATAACCTTATTTATAACAAGACCCCTCTTCATATTTTATCAAGTCTTAATTTAAACATAGTTAAAAAAACAAGGCAAATAGGCTTAGCTTTTATCTTTAAACGAATTCTTTAGTTTCTTGAACACTACAAACAAAAAAATAATTATATTTAAAAATATCAGCATTTGCCAGTGGTATGATCATTCCATGTCCACAAAATCTAGTTTCAGAAAGATTTGAGTAAAACATAATATTAGTAAAAAGAAAATTTTCTTACTTTTTTAATAAATATGGGTCAAATGGGAAGTATGTTTCAAATTTTTGGTAACCTTTGCTGTCAACTGGTAGAAATGATCTGTTGTTTTGTTGAATTATGTGATCACAAAATGCTAATTGATGTTGTCTGAAAATATAACATTAAAGTATAACTGAACTCTTCTCCTAGCAAAATGGTCAATTGCATACCAGTGAGAAAATTCTATATCATTCTAAATCAACAGTTTTGATTGAGAAACATTTGATTATTACCCTCCAACTAAACCAGTAAAAAAGGCATATGAGCATTTAAAAAAAGAGAATAATGCATTAAATATCCATGCTAGGTTTATGGTTTTCGGACAATGATAGACATAAGTGTGTTATTTTCGATCACTGACAACAAAATTTCAACCTCATATAGAAGCTTTTAACAAAAATTCTAATCCAATTTCATTGACATTTGGCATCATCTGTGACCTAAAGGGTGTGAAAAAAGTTTTCTCTTAATACGGCTTTGAATTGAATTTTTCAACCTAGCCGACTTAGGCCGCTGTGGAGGCATGACCAAGTGGTTAACGCGACAGACTAGTAATCTAAGGATTGCTGATCACGTGGCTTCAAACCCTGTCATAGCAAACCTTTGTTTCCTTGAGTAAGAAACTACATTTATTGCTTAGTACTGATTGGTTCCAGGAACGGATTCCAGAGTGTTTCAATAAGCTTATAGCTACCAACACAATCGAACTATAATAAATTTGTATAAACTAAACTAATATGAATATTACTAACATGTTCTGAATAAACGTTGCCATGATTTGGGCAAACTGATAATAAAGATAATAGTCTGGTCAAAGTTGTTTATAGAAGCATTTTGACAAAATATACCATGAATTTCATTGTTCAAGATATAAACAAACAGAGAAAACAACATAATGACATAATATCTTCAGACATTTGCCCTTGGTTGATAGCTGACTTCGAGCACTATGATCGCAGATTGGCTAAGATTGAAATAACATTGCTTAATAAATTATGTTTGATAGATTTTGCATATATACATACCTGGTTATTGATGCAAATGTTTTTACAATGAGAGGTAAACAAATTTTTAATGGATTCAAACGACTTTGAATTAAGTGCTGAATCTGTAAACTCTGTGCCCACTTTAACCCTGAAAAATAAAGTTGCATATATAATACAGTAATTGTAATACTGACATGTATAATCAAACAGCCAGAGGGTGAAGGATTCTACCAGTTGAATCAACAATGAGGCAATATAGTTTCATGGTAAGCTTGCAGCTATTTTGTCTTCTTCCCTTTTTTTCTTTTTTTTAAACAATCAATTACATAGAGCATGTTGAATGAGTGTAGGTTTAATACTAAATTTATTGAACAAGTTAAATAAAATCATAGTATGAGAGTCTCTGGTGAGCATAATTTTGTTTTATTCAATGAGTTCCAATATATTTTGGATTGAATCTCAAGAAAATATTATTATATTTATCACATATTCCAAATAACAATGGTTTACACTAAACAAGAGCTGTCGGTAGGACAGCATGCTCGACTATTCTTAGTGCTTGATAGTAAAAAAAATGCCTGATACAGTTACCTCCTCCTGTTTACAGGTTGGGGTCATGATGGTGAACAAGTGTGCAAAGTTTCAAAGCCATATGTCAATGGACTTTGAAAATATTTGAACTATTACAAAAACTTTAACGTAAATTCTAAGTCGAAAAAGGGGCATAATTCTGTCAAAATGCTTGATAGAGTTACCTCCTCCTGTCTACAGGTTGGGGTCATGATGGTGAACAAGTGTGCAAAGTTTCAAAGCCATATGTCAATGGACTTTGAAAATATTTGAACTATTACAAAAACTTTAACATAAGTGGTTACGCCGACGCCGACGCTCGGGTGACTGCAATAGCTCTACTTATTCTTATTGAATAGTCGAGCTAAAAATGAGCCATATTTCATTGTCGGGTCTACAGTGTTTGTATTACACTAGTGACATAACATTTTTATTACATGGCTTTAATACACTCCTGCACCAAAGTTTAGGAGATAAAAAAATTTATGTGGACATGTTAACATCTACTTGTAAAGACATATAAGAACAACTGCCAGTACATGTATTTGACTATATTATTGTTACAAACATGGCAATGGTTATAACTAACAAAGACTACTTTAAGTAATCAATTTTATAGATTTATGTTTAAGGTGAGCTATAGATGAGCTTGAATCTCTTATAAAAGTCTAGGAAAAAGAATATTTGAAATTGCAACCTTGAACTTGCTAAATTTTTTAAACAGATTTGTCAAGCTCCCATTTTTGGTACTGTCCGTTATCATTTTTAGGGATATTAAAATGAAAATTGGAAGTTGGTCAGCCAGCAGTATAGTTACTCTACTGGTAGCAAAAGTTAATCACTCTGGTTGCAGGTTATGGGTGAAAACATTTAAACAGCTAGCTGTATACCTGCTTTGGTTTCAAAGATTTCTTTTTGTCTGAAAGCAAACACATAGAAGATAGACTGACAGACTGAGTAGAAGGGACCATGATGAACTACATCTGCCATCACACAGTCCTGACATGTGTTTGTGTATGTGTGACACCATGTCATCATTAACTCTACACATCTCATCACCGTCCTGAAATACATGTAATTTTATCATTTTATTAACCTTTATGTACACAGACAGGATTATGTGCAGATTTATGTGTGAATGACAGTAGAATGATTATTTAAGCCTTAGGGAAGAGACTATCTTTACAAAAATGTATAATATATTTAACACATTTTAATACTTTGTTTGTAACATAAATTTTCATTCAACAACTTTGAAGTCTATATAATGTACTTATATATACTTTTTTTGCAAATATTCAATGCATACCTAACAAATATTCAAATATGCATGTTTATTTTCTTGTGTTATTACTATGGTTACATTTAAGATACTAAATTCTGATTATAGATGCGAAGTGTCCTGACATTAATTCATCTGATGTTTACATACCTGATATTTATAAATTTTGCCCTCGCTAATAAACTCGCCATATAGGAGACAGCAGACTGTCTGTATACTGACTGTACATTAGGATTCTGAACCAGTTTCCACAAGTAGTCTAAAAACCCATCACATAATTGCTGGAAAATAATGTATATAATATTGTCAAACAAATTTAGGTTACACTCACATGGTAACATGGTTAGCATCTGACAAAACATATAATGCTTTTGACATTTCATTATACTTTTTCACATTTAACTTTAATGGAATCAAATTAAAACTCTACTATGTTTGATGTAACTATTTCCTTCATACAGAAAAGTCATTAAAATAAATATTTAGAGAAAATCTAAAATTGAAAGAACATGATTTAATTTATACAAATATTCATTGTGTATCTCAAAATAGATATCAAAATAATTTATCAAATCAATAAAGCTTATAAAAAGTTCATACCATTTTGAAGCTGACTAGGTAAAACATGATAAACTGTATATGACAGCAAGCATATGTTGGTAATATCACCTTCTCAAACACATACAATGTCTCTCTATAAAATCTCTTAGTGTCTTCCCACTCTAACTCTCCTAAAATATATCAACAATTAATATCATTGTTACATAGCATGAACATTTGGTGAATATCCAAATAGAGGAATCTCTAAAGAATGCCAAACAGCAAAATTGAAAATGATGCAGGCTCGGTTTGACCCTGTTCAGGGACAATAATGATAACTGCAAGATACCATCCACACCCCTAGCACCGGCTTTAGCAGAATTCAACAGTTAACAGTAACAGTTACTTGGTAAAATTTTGAAACATCCGCAGATGTGTTTGTAAGTCTATGAACATGGTTAGTGTGATATGCAATGAGGCCATGGTAAAGCACAGGGGTCTTTATTTGTTTTTGACATTTGTATCCCTTTTAAAATGGTCACTTGCTGCAAAGCAGAACACTTTTATTTCAATGTTGTATTTTGACCAAAAAAAATGCTGTCAGAAGTTACTGTAATTTACACAGAATGTTTATATAGTACATACCCTAACATAATGAATATTGTTAATTTTTCACATTCATTAGTGTTATACACATTGTAATATGTTAAATGTGGAATAAACTTTATTTAATTTATAATTGGTCAGCTAGTACTCTATATCCCATTACATCATTTATGATTGATTTCTAATAAAAGATGCTTAAATTACACAAAATACTTCATAATGTTATTTGTTTATATGAATATCACCTAGAATTCAGGTCAATATCATTTTCTATTGACTATCATGTGACCATGTATCGACTTATGGAAAGAATTGGAAATTTTTTGTCATATAATAACAATATATATTACCCTCAAACAAATTTGAGTAGGTTCAACACTGCTTACATACACAATCTGTCAGTATTAAATAGTAATATATTTCCCAAAATATATTTTCAAAAATATCTTCATAATTGCTCTTGTATGAACTACATTTTTTTAATAATAAACAGGAAAAGTACAAAATGAATTTTACTTTTATCAATTATTTCAAAGTATAATACTAGCTCATTTTAATCCTCCAGAATAACTTAAATCATTATACATGTTATCAATTCCTCCAACTGCTATTATTAAGACAACTATTATGATATCATTTACCATTCTTATAGCATACAGCCTGTATATACTCAAACAGATGAACCATCAAAACATCTAATTTCTCGCTGCTTTCTACCACAGGGTCTACATCTCCTTCCTGAAATATAAAAACAACATTAACCTTTCATCCCTTCATAATATAATAAATATATGATTATCAGGGCTGGGAATCAAAACTGCGTCGTATCCTACAAAATGTAAACAAACGCCGCCATCTTGGAACGAAAAACGTATGTTTTTGTTAATAACTCTTTTTGTTGGAAATGACTGAAAACAAGATATATGTATTAACACGCTACACTATTTTTTACGCTACGTTCGGTATATGTTGCTTGCACAACTATTTTGTAAAACAAAAGTTATAGCGAACTTGCAACTCGAAGCGGGGCAGAATTTTTATGAAAATGTGTGGATACGACGCAGTTCATATTGCTTTATCTATCGTTTTTTCCTTCAAATCAATTATATATTTGTTTCAGAGTTCACCATAAACTTCGAAATTTAATTTTGCATCATTTACTAAAATTTCATTAAAAAGAGATGTTTATTTTCTAAGAAAATAATGATTTTTACGAAATGATACGACGCAGTTGAAAATAAAATATGATACGACGCAGTTGTATTTTTGGCAGTCTTTTCAACAGGGATAATTTTGGCAATATACTTCTATTTTATGGAATAATCACTTGCGCTAGATAAAAAAAACCCAGATCATTTGCGGTGTATAGCAATGTTCTGTTGCGTTTGATTATTTAGAATACAATGTGTCATGTCCAATGTAACATTTAATTTGAAAGTTTACATTGCGGAAGCTACTTTCAGTTAAACATGAACATGTTACCTTATTGATCATAATATCTGAAAAAATTTCTTATATTTTCCTGTATGTTCAATATTATCCCTATTTTTTCGCAAAAAAAATGTAGAAATCTCTTAACTTGAATTCATTTTGGCTAGCTACGCGCTAAGTTAACTGTGGTTCTGCATGTTCTGGGTAATGACTTTCTTATCAAACTTTCACTCTACACATTAGCTTTACTAGGGGCGAGGACCTCAGGTGCGCATTTGTGCATTATTTCAGGCAAAATGTTGTACCTGCAGAGAACCATCGACATTTTGAAGCTAGCTTGATAGGTTTTCCACACGAAAGAATAAAAAGTCCCTGGTGGTTTTCGAATTCATAGCAGTTCAGTTCAAGTGATTTGAATTCAGTAAACATAAACAGCTCGGCCTCGGTCGGACACACCTGTCTGATTTGTTTTTTTCAACAAAATTTGTTAACGTCAGCTGTACAAATAAGCAGCTTTTTTTATTAACTTCTGGCCTGAAGTTTTAAGATTATAAATATCTAAATTAATTATTAAAAAGAATAAAATTTAAATTTCTTATTTCGGTATTAATAGCAGAGAAATTTTCAATGTAAACAAGGGGTATTCCTCTGTGAAGTCATTTTCTGAAAACTTTTGTTTAAGTTTTCAGGCAATTCATTATCAAATAAAAATCACACTTTAGTATAAAGGCATGTTAAGATGTCATGTCTCTAGTCTGTTGAAAATTCGATACGATAATCTGACCTAGATTTTCTGTTCAATATTGTGAAAACTTAATAATTCTTCAATACTGTTGAAAGATCATGTCTGCCTATTATATATCTGTATCAAATTTATCGGTGCATAGCGTAAAATACCTTTGCAAAACGGACACTTTTTACAAAATAATTTGTTGTTGTATCATACGTAACTCGATTTTGAAAATTTATTTTTTTGATGGAGAAGTATGATACTTAAGTGCAAATATAGAAAATACATTCCGTAGACCTTTCCTCATCGGCGATAAAGAAACGCAATACGACAAAATCAGGGGTAAAGTTCCGCGGCGCTGAACATAAAATGACTAAACGGAACGCATAACCTACTTGCAAAAATATATTGTAGCTTAACCATTTATAATATAATTTTAAAAATTTAATGTTCAGTTTCAAATAATAAATAAAAATTCTGCCCCGCTTCGAGTTGCAAGTTCGCTATAACTTTTGTTTTACAAAATAGTTGTGCAAGCAACATATACCGAACGAAGCGGAAAATAGTGTAGCGTGTTAATACATATATCTTGTTTTCAGTCATTTCCAACAAAAAGAGTTATAAACAAAAACATACATTTTTCGCTCCAAGATGGCGGCGTTTGTTTACATTTTGTAGGATACGACGCAGTTTTGATTCCCAGCCCTGATTATACAACCAATCTGAATAGTTTCCAATGGTCGCAAAATTTAACATAAAGAACAGTGAAGTTTTAATTGTATTGAAGTCTACAACAAATCAAGAAATAAATGTATATTATCTTAATACAAGTCAAGATTTGATTGTTTATCCTTACTGACATAAGATTTGGAGAATTATAAACATACTTGAAAATATGACAAGCATATTTATAATACTGCATGTTTGTTACATCTTTTTCTTCACAATTTTTATATAATCTATATACACGGCTGCTGTAAAATCATGATAGTACAGTTTAATTTTTGTTTTCCCTTTATTAAAGGAATTATCCTGTATTATATATACATTTAAATGTTATTTTGACAGGTTATATGACCATGTAACAATGCTGTATAAATTAATTAATACAAGGTTATGTAACTTATCTAAAAATCATAATCAAACTGCTGGATAGATGAAAGTAATAAATGTAAGACAATGACAACGCTTAAACTAGAAATGAATCCATTGTACACAAATGCCACCAAATTTCACTGTTTTGTCAGTCTAGAGAAGGAGGCTGGGTGGGTGGGGGCAGAACAATACAACTATCCCTATTTACCAGTCTTTATATACATACAAAGATAAAGAAAAGATCATATTCCATTTGGAAATATGATAATAAACTCACCATATTAAAGATCCCACTTTCCTGACTATTATCTTGTGAAGTCATCTCTAGTAAAGCTGTTCTTGGTGCCTGTGTCTGAAATATGCAAATTACTAACCCATTGTTCACACAGATTAAATCAAAAGTACATCATAGCTAACATAATTGTTCATGCTCTCATTAATTTCTTCTAACTTTGCAGGAAAAAATAATTCACTTAGCAAAAAGTTGCATGACAAATAATGTCAAATTATCATGAAAAATGATATCAATTTCAACAACTCTTCGTTTTAACAAGACAAGTTTCTTTTTTGTATTTGTCACAGGTGACAATGTGCAGTCTGTAAAGAATTATAACTTACATCAAATTTAATGATTTTTTCAATAAGAAGTTCAAGTATAGACTGTCTAAGATCTGTCTTGTAGTAAGTTATCTGAAGTAAGTTCTTCATGAAACATTCCTGTATATACACATCCTTTATGTAGTATGGGAAATTCTCTATCAACATAGGCATGATCAGCTGTGACGACCTGAAACAAAATATTTATATCCATAATATTTAATAGAAGGAATAAACATGTTAGTATAAGTGATGTTTGTACATCAACAGGCAGGTACATGTACTCAAACATTGTAAAGACTTTAGAACGGTTTGCAAAGGTTATGTTATAATCATAATCTTTATATGTGTATAGCCAGTGACCTTGTAACTCAATTAATATTTGTTTAGTATAGCGAACAAAATTTATCACATTATTCAACGAAAAACATAACTATTACAAATTAACAGTAACATTTTATGGTTGTAAACAGTGTATCTCAAGGTTAAAACTTGGATATTCAGTGTTGTTATTTTTGCATGAGAATGATTACAGTAGCTTATAAAAATCTTACAGCGGCTGCCGGTACAGACCAGAATATCTAGCTCGAGGGTAACTGTTTACGGTGGTAACGAGGCTCTGCCGAGTTCCCGCTTAAACAGTTACCCGAGAGCTAGATTTCACGTCTGTACCAATAGTTGGTGTTTGATTATTATTCTTGCATATTACATGTCATTATTTTCAGAAAGGAAATTGCAAAAACTGATATTCTCATTACGCACTTTTTTCTTATACTCGTAGAAGCGTATGAACTTACAACTTCATTCATAATGGTAAAATGAAGTCATCCTAAGAACGCATTTCATTCATAAAAGGCGCGCGTCAATGACATCATTTAAAGCACACAACTTGTCTTACATGGGGGGTGTAAGACAGGGTTTTCTAGCACCGATGTAAACGGTAGATAATCCGGTCTGATATGCAAGAAAATATTATCTCCCTTCTTTTATTGAACATAATGTCCTTGTCTGCATCAAATAATATTGAAAATTATTGACTATGCAACAGAATTAATACCATTCAATATTGAAGCTGAGAGAATAACATAAGTGTGCATCAGGTTTTTTTTCACATAACATACTTTTTATACTCACATCTTACAAGTTTTATCACTTTATTAAATGTTGTGATATTAAAATAATGAGGAAGAACACATGAAGATGTAACTTTGTATCACATCTTTTTTTTCCAATTAAAGACAGTAATATATGCATATGTATATGTACATATGTTTTTACATTACTTACATTGGCACAATCTTCATAATAGTTTTGATCAAGGTGTGAACATGTATAAAACCTTGATTGTGTGCGGCCATCATATCATCTGTTACTAAACTCTCTGTTGATTCCTTGTTTTCTACAGGCTTTATTACTGTATAAATAACAAAACATACAAATGTGATTAAGGAATAATAAACAGATATTTGGCTTATATGTTATATTTGTGTGATGAAACACTTTGTTCTAATGCAACAAATTTGTATCTAAGTTAAGAAATTTTAAGTTATATTATGCTCAAATTTGATATTTAAAAATACTGATAATATTTTCAGTCTTTTTTAAAATGCAAAAATAAACATCCTTTGAGTACACACTGAGATGCGTTTTTAACTCCACACATTATAGCCCTAATACGTAAACACAGTTAGAATAAATGTGTCATTAAAAAACTGGCATTTTTTTGTAAGAAGCAACCAAATAAACTTTACCAATAAAAGGGAATGCAGCTTCCCAAAAAAGTGTGTGCATTCTGATATTGAAATTAAACATATTCAGTATTGTTTGTTTTTTTCTTTGGTTTCATGGTGCACAGACACAGGTCAAAACAGGAAAGAAAATTTTGGTTAACCTTGGATATTACAAACTTAAAGTAACACCACATGTCCAAGCCCACCCTGCTAGAGGTAAGAGATGCATAGACACCTGTAATTCAAGTTGCCTCTTACGCTCACACATTGATAAACGGTGGCTGCAATGCCGACGCCTCAATCTTTAAAGGCAACCCTTCAGCCACAAGGGGCACATATTCATTAAGAATTTCTTAGATTTCAATAAATTTCTGCAATAGAAATATTTAACCTACAAATGAACAAAGCATAATCTTTATAGATCACATCTTAAATATTCACTTAGGCTTAAAGAAGTGCTAAGAATTAAGTTTACAATACTAGACACAAACAAACCTGGCATAAAGTTTTTCACCAGAGCTCTCAAACATGCCTTCAGATACACTGTATGTACTGATACAATATTTAATATGGTCGACTGGTAGATCTGTACAACACCACTGGAACGATTCATCCAGTCTAATTTCTACAACATAAACGAATTACATAAGAACAATTTCCATGGTTATTATTATTTAAAAAATCAAATGATCAATATTAAATGTTAAAATTGCAATAACAAAATGTAATCAAATATTTCAAGCTACTTCTCTATGAGATACATGTATTTCAGAGAAAAAAAATATTAGAATTCTGTTTAACTGATTTTTCTTTTCTTTTTTAAATCAAATATGCATTTCTATTTCATGATTTAATTGTCAACAAAAAGTCATTAAATCATATTTCATGCTGATCTTATACTTAAAGCTGGCTTTGACATTGTCTTCAAGTCAAGATAAAACTTCACTTACTAGAAGTACTCCAATCAACATCTCATGATCCTTGTCCAGTAGTGTAGCACAATCCTTCATTGATTTTAAATATTTCACTAACACCCCATCCTGTAATAGTCACAATACATCATCATTGATCCCAGGGTTAGAATTTTAGCTTGCATGCTAGCAAAATGCAAGAGGATTTTGAAAATTGCCATTGATTTTACCCTACACTCATAAATTGTTGAGTAATTTTTTGAAAAATGTAAAAAACAAGAATGTCGAACGACACATATACCCCCTTTCTAGCCATTGACTCACATATTTGGTAATTTTATTACAAAAACTTGCCAAAAATGGGTACATGGAAGTGTTCAATTATGGAAAAATCAACAGAAACCTTTTTGACATTTAAGGCCCATGTGACATTGACCTTTGACCTAATGACCCCTAAATCAATAGAGGTCATCTACTACTAATGACCAATAACTAGGTGAAATATGAAGACTTTGTGATGAATACTTTTCAAGATAATCAGCGGAAACCATTTTGACATTTAAGGCCCCTGTGACCTTGACCTTTGACCTAGTGACCCCAAAATCAATAGGGGTCATCTACTAGTTATGACCAATCACTATGTGAAATATGAAGACTTTGTGATGAATACTTTTCAAGATAATCAGCAAAAACCATTTTGACATTTTAAGGTCCCTGTGACCTTGACCTTTGACCTAGTGACCCCAAAATCAATAGGGGTCATCTACTAGTGATGACCAATCACTATGTGAAGTATGAAGACTTTGTGATACATACTTTTAAAGATAATCAGCGGAAACCATTTTGACATTTAAGGCCCCTGTGACCTTGACCTTTGACCTAGTGACCCCAAAATCAGTAGGGGTCATCTACTAGTGATGACCAATCACTTTGTGAAATATGAAGACTTTGTGATACACACTTTTCAAGATAATCAGCGGAAACCATTTTGACATCTAAAGCCCCTGTGACCTTGACCTTTGATTTAGTGACCCCAAAATCAATAGGGGTCATCTACTAGTTATGACCAATCACTGTGTGAAATACGAAGACTTTGTGATAAATACTTTTCAAGATAATCAGTGGAAACCATTTTGACATTTTAAGGTCCCTGTGACCTTGACCTTTGACCTAGTGACCCCAAAATCAATAGGGGTCATCTACTAGTGATGACCAACCACTATGTAAAATATGAAGACTTTGTGATGAATACTTTTCAAGATAATCAGCGGAAACCATTTTGACATTTAAGGCCCCTGTGACCTTGACCTTTGACCTTGTGACCCCAAAATCAATAGGGGTCATCTACTAGTGATGACCAATCACTATGTGAAATATGAAGACTTTGTGATACATACTTTTCAAGATAATCAGCGGAAACCATTTTGACATTTAAGGCCCCTGTGACCTTGACCTTTGCCCTAGTGACCCCAAAATCAATAGGGGTCATCTACTAGTGATGACCAATCACTATGTGAAATATGAAGACTTTGTGATACATACTTTTCAAGATAATCAGCGGAAACCATTTTGACATTTAAGGCCCCTGTTTTGACCCCAAAATCAACAGGGGTCATCTACTAGTGATGACCAACCACTATGTGAAATATGAAGACTTTGTGATGAATACTTTTCAAGATAATCAGCGGAAACCATTTTAACATTTAAGGCCCCTGTGACCTTGACCTTTGACCTAGTGACCCCAAAATCAATAGGGGTCATCTACTAGTGATGACCAATCACTATGTGAAATATGAAGACTTTGTGATACATACTTTTGAAGATAATCAGCGGAAACCATTTTGACATTTAAGGTCCCTGTGACCTTGACCTTTGACCTAGTGACCCCAAAATCAATAGGGGTCATCTACTAGTGATGACCAATCACTATGTGAAATATGAAGACTTTGTGATACATACTTTTCAAGATAATCAGCGGAAACCATTTTGACATTTAAGGCCCCTGTGACCTTGACCTTTGACCTAGTGACCCCAAAATCAATAGGGGTCATCAACTAGTTATGACCAATCACTGAGTGAAATATGTAGACTTTGTGATACATACTTTTTAAGATAATCAGCGGAAACCATTTTGACATTAAAGGTCCCTGTGACCTTGACCTTTGACCTAGTGACCCCAAAATAAATAGGGGTCATCTACTAGTTATGACCAATCACTATGTGAAATATGAAGACTTTTTGATAAATACTTTTCAAGATAATCAGCGGAAACCATGTGGTCTACCGACGGACAGACCGACAGACAGACCGACATTAGCAAAACCATATGCCCCCTCTTCTTCGAAGGAGAGCATAAAAAAGATAGAGCATGTGTTAAGTGGTGGACACATCATTTTGATTCAACATGAACATTTGTAAACTACTGTTTTCTGCTACAAAAATAAAGGTGCAATGCACTGGATTTTTAACTGAAGTTTTCGGATCTGCACGCTCTGCAAAATCATGCAGTCTCCAGAACTTACAATTAAAATCTCAAAGACTTCTTCCATTGAAAAAGTAACTAAACATACAGACCATCAAAATCTGTTAACAAGGTGACTGAGAGAATTGTACCACAGATGAACAAAAATATCATAATTTTGTAATATTTAAATAAAGAAACTCAGGCCGGGTGTTACTGATAATGGTATCTGTTAATAAGTTCATGGAGAATGTAATATGAACTTTGAGTGAGTTGATTAGAGAAAGAAAAAACAATGCACAGATATGCGGATTGGACTTTTCTATATGTACATTTGTGAGTAAATATATAATAACTTTTATGAAGAGGGTCCCGGGTTCGAGTCCAGGTCAGGCTGCACATTTTTCTCACCCTGTGACATATAATAACTTTTATGAAGATATAATGAAGCATATAAAACCTTGTAAGATGGCATTTATCTTAATTCTAATTCCATATTAGAGTTCTCTTGAGACAATGCTGACATTTGATAATCAGTCAGTAATTGATTAAATCATACAGTCACACCATTTTTTCCATCTATAATATATATATATGCAAATTATACCCATCAATTTAGCTTTAATTTGGTACAGACTGTGGCAAACAGGACTCCAATGATGTTAATAAACAGCTCAACAATACAAAAAATAACATTTAATCTTTATAACAAGCATATTTTTTAATCAGAACATACTATTTTGAAGAGTAATTCTTTCGGACAAATATTGCAAAGGAACTTCAAGTATCCTTAGTCTATTCTCTTAAATCTAAAATATTGGACAAAGATTGACTTACCTTCTTAAAGATAACTTACAAGTGTGAAATTTATCAAAATCAGACCAAAAGTTTTCTTTAAGAACTCTAATTCTCTACATTTTCATGTGCAGAGCAATAAATCTTGTAAAACATGTGCTATAAAATAATAGAGGGTTAATTCACCTTTTTTTCCAAGCATTTACAGCAGCTGCTGTAGAAGCACAATGGCAAATTTAAAGCCCATACCTGCAGGGATAGGGATTTAAAAAGACCAAGGGTTTCTTCAAATGTTAATGCACAAAAAAGGTGCATTAAAGGTACAGTCAAAGTTAGTAATTCTGCATTTAATTATCGGATATCTGTATTTTGTATAAAGAAATCTATAATTCAACATTATAATGTTATGTCATCTAACTAAATAGTTATGTTTTGATAACCAAAATACTGCGGCCATAATAGCATTAAGTTATTTTTACATTCTGCCCTGAAATATGCATATTAAAAAACATGCAAAAATGGCACATGATCAAGAGATTCTCTCAGTTAATGCATGTTTTATATGCAACAATCTATGTCTAATGATAGCTTACAATTGTACATATACATGTATCATCATAATATGTAAAATTATATCTGAATCAGATGAAAGGTACTAAATATATAAAAATATATTTAAAGACTCCTCTGCTGATGTAATATATTCAAAGATGTGGTTGATGATTTGATGATGAGGTAGATACTTTGAAAACTAAGACAGTTATAGTAAAAAATAATATTTTTCAAGTAAAAAAATCTAAGTTCATTGGGAGTTAATTCTTGCAATATTGGTGCTAGAGTCAAGAACTTTGTCACATAAGATGTTGTTAATGATATCATAAGGAACATATATTTGAAGTATAAAGTTGATCCCTTAAGAAATAAAAAAGTAACAGTAAAATATGATATTTTTAAGGAAAATTCTAAGTTCAAGGGGAGATAAATCTGAATATATCTGTGCTAGATTTATAAACTTTGTCACATAAGATGTTGTTGATGATAAGGAACATATAATTGTAGTTTTAATTTGATACCTTAAGAAATGAAAAATATTTTACTGCACCAAAACTTAAATCTGAAATCTGGATGCAAAGGCTGATGCCGGGGCGAGTAGGACAGCTCGCCATATACATTGTATAATCAAGCTAAAAAAGCATAAATTTGTAACTTTTTAAAGTCACTTTTCATGATAAAAAAGCCCACCTTAGTACTTACCGATATAGAAGGATTGGCGAGTTTACAAATGAAACCATCATAGTCTTTTCTTGATCCCTAAAATCATTAAAAATATTAAGGTTAAATTGAGTTGAATAAGTTTGTAATACCGGTATATGTAAGATTAAATGTATAAAAAATTTGCTACTTAATGATACAAGAGGGCCAAGATGGCCCTAGATCGCTCACCTGACCCGTCAAACTCATCCGAACAATTACCTAGACAAGCGTTCTGACCAAGTTTCATGACAAGTGTGTCAAAAATGTGACCACTAGTGTTAACAAGGATTATCCATATTTGAGCATTGTGACCTAGTTTTTGACCCCAGGTGACCCATATTCGAGCTTGACATTCGAGCAATTACCTAGACAAGCATCCTGACCAAGTTTGATGATAATTGAGTCAAAAATGTGACATAAGAGTGTTCACAAGGTTTTTCTATTTTTAGCTCCTGTGACCTAGTTTTCCACCCGAGATGACCCATGTTCGAACTCATCCAAACAATTGACTAAACAAGCATCCTGACAAGGTTTCTTAATAATTGGGTCAAAAATGTGACCACTAGAGTGTTCACAAGGTTTTTCTATTTATAGCTCCTGTGACCTAGTTTTTCATCGGAGATAAACCATGTGCAAACTCATCAAAGCAATTATCTAAACAAGCATCCTGACAAAGTTTGATCATGATTAGGTAAAAAATGTGACCACTAGAGTGTTCAAAAGGTTTTTCTATTTTTAGCTCCTGTGACCTAGTTTTTCATCAGAGATGACCCATATTCAAACTCATCTGAGCAATTGACTAGACAAGCATCCACACTAAGTTTGATGATGATTGGGTAAAAAATGTGACCACTAGAGTGTTCACAAGGTTTTTCTATTTATAGCTCCTATGACCTAGTTTTTCATCAGAGATGACCCATATTCGAACTCATCTGCGCAATTATCTAAACAAGCATCCTGACAAAGTTTGATGATGATTGGGTCAAAAATGTGACCACTAGAGTGTTCACAAGGTTTTTCTATTTTTAGCTCCTTTGACCTAGTTTTCCATCCGAAATGACCCAGACTTTTCGAACTCATCCGAGCAATTGACTAAACAAGCATCCTGACAAAGTTTAATGATGATTGAGTCATAAGTGTGACCACTAGTGTGTTCACAAGCAATTGTGGACGTACGACGGACGACGGACATTCACCGATCCTAATAGCTCACCCTGAGCAAGCTCAGGTGAGCTAATAACTAATGAAATCTGAAAAGCCAAACACACACTAATAAATATTTGATCTAGATCTAGAAATCATCTAAACAAACTTTCAGACTAATTTCCAGGATATTTGGATCAAAACTGTAGCCACTAGTGTTAACAAAAATTTTCTATTTTTAGCTGTTCAAACACAAATGTGGATGGACGACAAACGACGGACATTCAACGATCCTAAAAGCTCACCCTGAGCAAGCTAGCTCATGTGAGCTTAAACACTGCAGCCACTAGTGTTAATAAGATTTTTCCATTTTAAGCTCCTGTGACCTAGTTTTTGATCGGAGATGACCCATATTCAAACTTGACCTAGAAATCATCAAAACAATCTTCCTGATCAATTTCCCGGATATTTGGATAAAAAATTGCAGCCACTAGAGTGTTAACAAGATTTTTTTTTATTTTCAGCTCCTGTGACCTAGTTTTTGACCAAAGATGACACATATTTGAACTTGACCTAGAAATCATCAAAACAACCTTCCTCATCAATTTACAAACCAAGAAAAAGTTCAAGACTAATAAGAGCCACAATGAAAAATATATACCATTGGATTCAGAAAATATTTTCATTGTGTGATCACCCATCCTGGTTAATCTTGCTCAAGATTTCCAGCACTTTAATTACAATTTGGCTAGTCCAACTAATTGTACTTCCCGATGAGATATTGTGCTACTATGAGTATTATTGTATAGGCAATATCTCCCCCCTAGAAGTGAGATTCTGACCCAGACCAAACATATAGATTTGGCATGTCGATATATAATACGCGGAAAGTCCGAGCGGGGCCAAAGGCCCCGTGAGGGCTGTAGCTCTCTTAGATAACATGTATGACGCGTATCAATTCAAATGAAATCAAATTAACAGGCTTCCTGAAAGTACTGGAAATTTTGCCTGACATTTGGTCAGACAGACTTGAGCATTTTGTCTGACCAAACAAATATTTGTCTGACCAGAAAATTTATCGGACAAGTTGAGAAAGGTTTATTTTGCAACCCGATAAATTAAAGTACATATAAAAACTGACCTAATAATCTATTTATCTTAACACCATTCAAAATTCTATATTTCATTAATTAAAAAGTGTATTTTCCTTGAAAATTGATCAAAGACATTTTGAAATGGAACCCCAGTTGATTTTGCGAATTCCTATACCTTGAACGATTCAACAACTTATTTGACAGTCATATTATAAATTCTTACCTAATTTGTTTAGCTATGTTTTCAATACTGTATTTGAGTTGCAAGCTGGGAATTCGTGAAAAAAAAATGACGTGTAAGACTGATAGCGATTGGGTGCTTAAAACGAAACAATGAATCAGAATATTTGTTCCATATGATTGCCAAGGGAAGTAACACTTGCTTAATTGGTCGGTCTATATGCCGTCAAATATTGCCGGACATAAGGTCCGGAACTCGTGGAAATGTTGTCGGACCTACTGAAAATTTGCCGGATAGGTCCGACGGTCTGGCATCTTTCGGGAAGCCTGAATTAAAAGTAAATGAAAATTTCAAAAAAATATATATCCTATACCTAATGAGCTGTAAAAAAAATCCTAAGTTAACTGGGCGCCTCCATTTTGAAATCCTTTTGAGCTAAATAAAGATGTCACAGCGCTTTTTATGAGCGTCTACATAATTCAGACTATTGCTAGCAGACGCATGCTTAAGAACACTTCCGGTGAAAAACTGATGTACAAAATCAGAAAATAAACATTCATTTCATTCATAACAACTATAGTAACGATGATAAATGTAAAAAGTTACTTTAAATCCTTTTTGATAAATTAGCACATTATAAATAACGTAAAAACAACATATGTGATTAGAGATTAACAGAAAATGGTGGACGGGATTTTCCAAACTCCGACGCATACGCAGTGGTCCCTCTTTCGATGGTAGGTTGAACACCACATATTTATTCGTTTCTGTTTACGGTACAAAATACCTGCATTTACTTATTTAGGAATTTGCATGATAGATCTGGTTAAGATGTACACTAAACATGTTATGCTTAAATCATAAATCATAAGAGCTTTCCGCGCCATAGGTAGCACCTAATTTCATATTATCTTTACTACAATTTGGCAAACTATTATCTTTATTATATTATATTAAATAGTAAATAAAAAAAATATTTTTAAAATTCAGTAATCATTCATTCTCACCACAAAGCTATATTTACTGATACTTACAGTCAGTAGTCTCGTTTTATAAGACCAGAATGCAACAGTATAAAGGAGTTGAACATATCAGTTCTATTAATGAAATGGTTTAATCAGCCAATTAGTGAATAAATTACAATTAATTAATATATTACCTTTTTAAACTTGCAAAGAACTGCTTCAAATGTGCTTTTGGTTTCCATTTTAATTCGATAAGACAGCTAAATTCGCCTCAAATGCTTATCCGAATTCTAGTCCACTACATCATAACATGCGACATTCTTTAACAGACATATTCGACAGATTTCTCAAAAAATGCATAACAGATAACCCAATTTTAAACAATATTCAAATATTAGTCGAGAATTAAAGAAATATTTGGTTCTAGAAAACGAAAGGAAGGCTGTAACACGTTTTTCAAAATTAATTCACATCGCTTGCGCAATTGCGTCTCCCGCATAGGTTCAACACAACCAAATACTTTCTTTAAAAAAATGAAACACCACTAATTTTAACGACGCCTTTAATGATGATGGTAATGTGATAAGGACAAGGCTTTCTTAATCACTTGTCTTCCTACTTGTTACTACACCCATGTTACTATATCCATGTTTATTGTACATGTAATGAAAGTTTGGATTTTTATGAGATACTGTTAAAGTGTCCAAGGGAGTCGGATTATTTCGATAATTTAGCACAGCCCAGCCAGCATAAACACTGTTCACCTATAAGCTATCATATAAATATACATGTCTTACATATCATCACCAGGAAGGAATCTTATTATTTAGAAATATATAATGTCAAATGTCATTTTGTTGACCTCTTACAAATGGATTAGACCTTTAGATATTGTTTTATTGGCCTGTTTGATTGCATAAAATTGCTCTGTTTTCAGATACTCTCAAGGGAAATCTGTTGGTGAGAGTAACATATTAAATATCATCCAGACCTTTTCCGTTTATAGCTGCAGCAAGTCGTTATATTTGTTAAATGTTTCCCTTGAAAAGAACAATTTTGACAACAGGAATAATATGTATTGAATAAATCTATTAACTATATCTATATTTGTGTGACGTACGTACCATATGCAGTGCGTTGTTACCTAGCTAATATATCAAATTAAAAAAGCACACGTTGAGTAATATCATGTGACAAGCTTGAATGGATAGATACAATATGGATTACAATATTATTCTTGGAATACTCTTTATCAATATTATATTACACAAAGAACAATGTGTAGCAAAAAGCAGCGGACATGCGGTCTGGGAACATTTGTTTCTTAATAACAGCTATAACAATGGTGTAAGACCGGTTAAGCAATGGGCAACACCAACAGTTGCTGAGGTTGGCATGGCAGTAATAGCATTGATAGACTTTGATGAAGTTAAACAAACAATTATTCTTACTTCTAAACTGACACTTTCTTGGAAAGACGAATACCTGGTTTGGAATCCTCATAGTTTTGAAAATATTACACATATTCATGTTCCTCAGTCACAGGTATGGAAACCGTTTATAATTCTGGAAAATTCTGTCGCAAAATATTCTGATATGGGTTCCCCGTCTGTACAAATTATTGTTCACGCTGATGGTAACGTCATATGGAATCCAGTTGAAATATTTCAATACACATGCACGGCTGATGTTCGACAATTTCCATTTGACACACAAACATGTTCAATGGTATTTGAAACACCGGACTTTTCAGATGAACTTATCATACGCTCGGTTAAAGAACACATTGATTTTCATGGTAAAGGTGTTTTTTCAGGCTGGTCAGTAATGGAGACTAGTATGGGCACGGAAACAGAGAAAGGAGAAGGTACTCATATTATATGTGCTATCACACTACGACGAAATCCGACATATTTCATAATGAACGTTTTTCTGCCAATCGTCATTCTCTCCTTTATGAATATTTGTGTATTTGTCCTACCTGTGCAATCTGGAGAAAAGGCATCTTTCGTCATCACCGTGTTCCTTTCACTTGCTGTTTTTTTTTTGACAATTGTTTAAGGGAGGGAACCTTTCCCCCCACCCCTCCCACAAAAATAGCCCTTTTCAATGTTTACGTCTTCCCTGTGTACACTTCTCAGTGTTATTTAAATTTCCCAAAAGTTACAAAAATCGAGTTTAAAATCTACCCCCATTTATTCCCGGAACGGGCCAGTTTTTACCCCTTTTCTCGTTTTAAAATTGTTTTTGCATTTTTTCGTCAAGGCCTCATTTTTTTCAATGCCGGTGAGGAAAAAAACGATTGGTTTAAAAATTTTTAGTGGAAAACCCTGCCCCAATGCTTTAAAAAAGCTGTCGCTTTGTCATTAGACAATGCTTGTGAATGGGAAGACTCTAAAGAAATTGATACTACGAAAGAAACAAATGTCACGTGGCCAGATGTTGTAAGAGTATTAGATAACATATTCCTTGTGCTATTCACAGTCATAAATATAATAATAACTGTCACTATTATAAAACTGGCAGTGATCAGTGACAATTCAACTGAAGACCACGCGGAACACAGTGCACATAGTGCATATTGAACACGTGAAGTGTAGTGATTTACAAAAACAAATATATAAAGATTAAATGTGCATGTGCATGGTTTTTAATAAGATTTTATTATCTTGACTGGAATTGTGGAGACTAAATGGAGAAAGATAGAAATTGATAACTAAGATATTTAGCACCTGATTTTCTTGGTAATGATAATAATGTTATTTTGTTATCATATCCTCACCTTTCGAAGATTTAATATAACTCACGAAACCTGATCGATGTGATGAAAATGTACATGTATGTACAAAGTAAAAATAGGATATCTTCATTTTAATTTTCAAAGTCTTCTTTAGGTATACTATGAAGGCACTAGACTATTGCAGAAACGACGTGTTTCGACGTGAAAGATACATGTTTTTTTAGCTTTGAAAACAAAAAGAAGTCATAGGGGACGAGGTCAGGTGAACAAGGAAGTTGGGAGAGCACAGCTTCTTTTCTTTTTCTGCTTCTTAAAGTCTTGCACTATAGACCCCTTGTCCGATGTCTCGTTGCCATGCAGCAATCTGACCTGTTGCGGGTCTTCGTTTTCAATTGAATTTGTTTAGTTTTAAAAAAAAAATAGCTTGTAGAATTCCGCATTAAGAAATTTGGCCTGTAGAATTTTTTTTTTCAGCCTGTATATGTCATACCCACAGCGTTGTAGACAGGAATAAGGTGAAATGCAGAAACAGAAAATCATAACTTCTGTTTTTTTTCTCTCTCTTGATTCAATTTAGTGACAAAAAATCATAATGTGTAGCTCGAGCGATTGTTTAAGTAATCTCCCATTGTTTGTAATTTTTGATCGGGACATAACTATAATCACTTCTACCATCAGTTTTCATTATCAAAAAAGTCTTAAGAAAATAATATATTTTACTCCCCGACATAAGCTTTTTTTCCCCAACAAGTAAAAACATTCGGTGAGGGGTTGGGGTCATGATTAAATATGGACATATTTTCCTATTAATTAAATTCCCACAAATGTTAGCTTCTTCAGAGAGACAATTGAATATTATTGATCAGTTATTTTAAGCAAATGTTTTTAGCCACCAAATTAAAAAGAGTAAAATTACTGATGGGGCGATTTGTTTATAGTCACTTATTATTTAGGTGGTTGTTGTTGTTGTTGTCATTACTATTATTATTATTATGAGTATTATTATTATTATTATTATTATGCTGGTAGTTGTTTTGAATATTTTTTTGAATTAAACTTATATTTTTATATGTTCTATGTATGATAGAATTAACGTCTGTTTATGTGTTTTCTTATTTGCATTTAAAAACTCCTACTTTGTGACATTTTAAATTTGTATGAAGAGCAAATGTTGTCTTATTTTGGTTATGCATTTTAAGCTATACTTTTCAAAGTAAAAAAAAACGGAGCCATTTTCATGGCTGGTTAACCTTTTTTAGTTTTGTTTATAATCTATAGATCTACCTACCTTCAAATAAATCAATGGTTTCATTCAAGCTAACGAAAATTGTATAAAAGGGTAAATATTTAATGTAATTATAAATTACTAGATAGGGTATATGACAGCTTTATTATCAGCAATGCGATTCCTGATGAATTCCTAATAAATACAAACATGTAACTTCATTGACATTGAACAGTGTTTAAATTGATACAATTATCATTCAACTACAGGAAAATTCTCACAATACTGTAATCTAATTATGTGTCAAAGACTAAATACGAACAAAAAAATGAATAATGTGTTCACATTCGATTCCAATAAATGAACATGACGTTCTTTTCCCTAGAATCAGTTAAAAAAGAATCCCCAGCCATTGAGAACATACATCTTGACATTTTATAATGACGCGGTGCCTAATTTGAATTATGCATTAATTGAATCAAAATGCGTTCATATCTAACAAAAAAACCTGCGGGAGCGGTGGTTTGTCACCATAAATTACGTTAAATGCATTAATAACGATAATGTTATATTGCTTTAATGAATATGATAAGTACGATTGCATTGGTTTTAGTTTCAGATGTACTGATATTAACTCAACAATAGCCTTAACCCATTAATTACTTCATGAGCATTTTGTGAAAAATGGCTGTTTCCATTAAAAAAGTCTCCCGTTACAAGTTCAAATTGCTATAAAACTATAAAAAAAATGCTAATCAAACTTGGCACAAATATTGACTGGATCATTGCCTTTGTAACAACATGCTCAGGCTTTAATTTCCTGTTACCATGGCAACGAGGGGACATCTCAAAATTGCCAAAAATCACTATTTTGCGTTGATTTTTTCCATCAAAATTGATTTCAAAGTGCTGCAACTTCTCAATGGATTGAGATAGAGTCAAATGCTTTTCAAGGTGGGTTACACGTTACCTTATGATCGATCTGGGGTCATTTTTAGCCTCTCACAATTTTCTGGGCGATGAGAGGCACATCCTCCTTCTGGCAACCCCCTGATGTACCTTTTGGATGAGGGCGGCGCCAAAAAAGTGTTCACTTTTTTATCAACATTTCTCAAACGAAAACATATGTTTAGGGCAAAAACAGGATATTTTTTCACTATTTTAGGCCTAAAAGAGGGGGGGGGGGTCGAAAGTGTTTTCGTCTCTGCAACCTTAATTAATTCTTGTCATTTCCGTTGCAGCAATACAATCATTGTGTGACTGACTGTTCCATACAGATTTCTTCTTCTCCTTTTTATTGAAATTCGAAAACAATTATGTGCTGTAAAGCTTTTTAGAGCTTAAACTTGGCAAGTTTATTCATACAGTTTAGTTTTATTTCTTGTTTCGTGATACAATATTACAATTGTATATGCAGGTTACATGATATTATATAATATTATTTAGACATAGTAAGTCCTATTTTCCGAAAAAAGGACGTTTTACATGGCTTAGTCTTTATATATGGTTGGTGATGCTGTGTTTAAGTGAATGGTTTTTTATTTACAAATAAGTCAAATGGTCAAGCAGGAACTATTTATGAATATGTTTATGTTTAAAGGCATAGAGAATGACACACGCATAACTTATCTACTTAAATTCATTCTAGGGCAACGCTAAATTTATATAAAAAAGAATGGTAATAAACAGGTGTTCAAATAGAGGAGCCTGAATGCTGGTGATGTCGCATCATCATTCATTTCTAGTATTTATCAGATCCTATGATTGAAAGCATGTGTATGCATGATGCTGACTTTGGAGAGATTGTCGTAACAGATAAATAAATTGTGTGAATTACACTCAAAAAACTTTAACAATGTTGATGCATTGACTTTGAGACATGCTATAAATGACCTGTCAATTTAACCTTGAAGTAGACTATAAGATGCTTTTTTTAAAAAGAAGTATGTGAGGGGTATTTTTGCAGGGGTGGAAAATTTGTTTACTTCGAAAAAAAGTTAAATGAATTGGCAGAATATTTTTCTAATCGGCCATTTCCGTCAGTATCCGAATAAGCCCTATTTAGGAATAATCGGCGAGTGTTCCGAAGAATTTCAGGTTTTGTCTTCGTCATCCCGGTTACGGCATTTTGAAATATACCACGATTTTCAATAACATTTAGAGTTATTCCTTTTGTTATAGAAATCCCTTCTTAAAATATCATTTAATAGTGATATACTTTTTAACGGAATAAAATACAATTAAATTATTGGCATTATCTTAAAATAATCGTTGTGGAATCTGTAGAGCATAGATGCTACGTATATTGCTTTTTCTATCAGCATAATCAAATTAATACAATATGTGTTTAATATTCATATGTTAAAACACTTAATTATAAAGATTATACAGTATCTCTCGGGAAATTTCAATATCATGCATTGTTAAATCCAATTAAATCATTTTATTGTAAAATGCAAATGACATCGCTTTTTCCGAATATTGAAATAAAGTTGATATTTGTTAATAAATTACAATAATCAACAACATAATAAACCCTCTCCTTATGCATACCTTCCACGCAAAAAAAAACAACAACAAAAAAACTTTATTATCTTCGTGGAAAGTTTGAAGAAATTGCAAATCATAATCTCTTACATACTGCTCACCTGACGATAAATAGACGATATTGAATGAGTGTAAGTTCAATACTGAATTTATTGCGCGAGTTGAATAAAATTATATTATGCGAGCCTCTGGCGAGCATAATATTATTTTATTCAACGAGTGCAATAAATTCAGTAATGAACTTACACGAATTTAATATTCTATTTATCACATACCATAAATAAAGACTGTTTAAAGTGAAATAAGAGTCACATTTCATTGACGCGCCTATACGCTAACGTTTAGCGCGTCTTTAAGCTATGTTTGTATAACGCTAATGACGCCACGTCATGGCCGTGCAATACGATATTTACGGAGTCGCAAAATCGGCACGGGTGTGTGATAAACGAAAATATTTTATTCTATGTTAAAAAATTCTTAAATTGTAACATGTTACTGCAAGTGAACATCTAATAAATATTATTTTTGTAACCTGTGATAAAACATGAAATGTTTCCACAGGATATTTATGAGTCCACCCACTTTTCTGTCATAGTGGCATATAAACATACTTATGCATATTTTATGAAAGCCAAATGTTATAATAATAAAGAAAACTCTTGCTCTTGAAAATCAAGTACTTCATGTGTCACTGTGACCTTGACCTAATTGCCTGATATTCAAAAAAGGGTTTTCTACAGGCCAGTGGCAATGATCCTACATAGTTTCACAAATTTAGGTTTTAATATTACTTGTAAAAATATGATAAACAATATAAACAAGGAAAGGTGGCGTTCACTGAACGCAACCCCCACATGACCCAGCAACAAGAAGCAGTGGCAAGGAGCCCATACGGACCCCAAACAAAAACGGGACAGGGCACGAGGCAGAGCACGGACAAGCTAATCACTAAAATGATTATTGGTTATTTGTAAAATAAGGAATTTACACAAAATGTCACTGTGACATTGGCTTTTGATACGCCCGTATAAAAGACCTAAAATAAATAGCGGTCGTCTTCTAGTCATGGCCAACCTACCCAGTAAGTCTTGGAACACCATCTTATCGGTCAAACATACTTTTAGAAGTGAATACCATGGTGACGTTCACCTTCGATCTACTGACCTCTAATCAATAGGGGTCATGCATGTAGTCTTGAGTCCCAACCTCCGAATCTAAATCATCAAATCTATGACTGTTTACCAAAGCATTCTCTAATTTTTGATAAGACAAGCTGTCTGAGGTCAAGGCTATTTCAAATATTGCAGACTCGATTTTGAATGATTCTGTTTGTGAGAGATTATGCAGCATCTCCACGCCCCTTGCACCGCCTTGAACAGTAGTCGATCTTAAACACATGAAATTTTAATCAATGATACCGAAGGAACAGAAAAAATATAGCAGCATGGAAATGAAGTACGGGTTGACATTTAACAGCTGACACACAATGCTTTTATAATATTTTTTACAGAATTCAACCTGCAACACTTAACGTACTGAAATCTGATAAAGGTATATAAATTAAGTTCGAGGGCTTCTTTCAAACAACGGCACATGCTCGCGTAATTTTATCTGTTAATGTACGTCTGCGTTGCAGTTTTATGCGGGAACTACTGCTGCTGTTAATGTCCTAGATGTCCTAGAAAACATTTTGGATCACTTTCATTTATATCATTTTACAAATTATTTTAATTCTTCATCATTAGCATTGTTTGTTTTGTGACACTGTTAAACTTTTATAAATATTGTATTCAATTATAAACGAGCGAACATTGATGTTGAGGGGTTAAATAAACATAATTATTGAACACAAATGATGATTATCAATGCTTTTTAGAATTAAATGAATTAAAAATATTTGTGTCTTTATTCTCGGAATTCAGTATATGATACCGCATCTCAAAGATCCTTTACTCAACGTGATATGAAAGGACGCACAACACGATTAAGTTACTTATGAAAATCCTTGGAACATTTTTAAATACATGCAACACCACTTAAATCTGTATTCATGTTTGTATAACAATTACTCTATTTTCCTAGTAGTTAATAGTGTTTATTTTTTTTTTTTTCTAGGGATTGAATGTAATTTCATCACAAGCTGAATTTTTTAGTTATATCATATGATATTTTCCCTCAATTACTACATGTACATGTGTAACAAAAGTCAAGTTACACTTTATAAAAAAAACTATGAAATCATAAATGCTGTTATCAACTTTATTTTTAAAATATCATCCTCGCCTAACGACTCGGGTGATATAAAATCTTAGCAGGTAATATATCCACATATATCACTCCAAAACCAAAATAACATATAATATCCTTCACTGGTTCTTTGAAAGATTTTTTTACATGGCATAATGAAAAAGAATCAGTAAGTATTGACAGAATGCATTCTGCTATTGTTCTATTAAAGCTTGAAAAAAAATCCTTGAAAACATTGGCAATCTTATTTTCATGTTTATCACAAAAACGCCGGAATTTTCTCAATGACAGAAAATAGCACAGAAAACTAGAAAATGACCATTTAAATTTATAATAGGCAATTTCAGTGTGTATGGGTGTTTATAAAATAGTAAAATTTGATTTAGTTAGACTAGCTTTTTATCCTGGCATTAGAGAAAAACTAATAAATATATTCACTATGAAATTTCGCTGTTTCACTCCGTAGCGAGAATTAATCTCAATCTTTGTTTTTGTATTTTTTTCTATTGTATTGATATTGAATTTATGTATGCATGAATAAATTTTTACATGTTATAATCATAATTGAACGATCAGTATTTACGCATTTAACTTTTTAATAAGCTAACGTTCTATGCGGCCTGTAAAGTATAATCCCCCATTTACGTCACACCCAGTAAGGAAAGTAACTCTTCCCTGACTGTTATCGCTTAAATGAAAGGATTTTTTGGCAAGTCAACAGACGAAAATAGAAACAAAACGCTTTCATCTAGCCTAATAACAACAAAAATCGATATTCTTTTTTATTCTTTTGGCACCAATATAATCTATAAATTAATTTTTAATGAAGTAGGGAGAACAGTTGCAATCAAATATGAAAATTGAGCTACCACTTATAAATTTACTTTGAATATTTACAAAGCTATTTGCTTAGACATGGAAAACAAACCTAGAGAAGGATATTTTCTTGTGACCTTTGTGGTGTTCTTACTGCTAGCAAATTGTCATGGATGTTATGGTGCCAGTAGTGGACATGAAATTTGGGATTACCTGTTTCTCAATGGTACATACAACAACGAAGTGAGGCCAGTGAAGGATTGGGGCACACCAACACATGTAAACGTCAGCGTTGCCGTTATAGCGGTGGTTGATTTCAATGAAGTTAAGCAAACAATTATTCTTACTTCCAAGTTAACAATTGTTTGGAAAGATGAATATTTGGTCTGGGATCCGCTTAATTTTGGAAATATCACTCATATCCATGTTCTTCAATCAAAAGTCTGGAAACCGTACTTGTTTCTTGAAAATTCTGTATCTAAACAACCAGATATGGGCTCCCCGTCTGTAAATTTAATAGTGAGTCATGAGGGTGTCGTTGAATGGAATCCAGTAGAAGTGTTCAAGTCAACTTGTGCAGCAGATGTTCGGAAATTCCCGTTTGACACACAAAAATGCTCAATGGTTTTTGAAACCCAGGGGTATACAAATCAAGAAATAGAAATACATTCAGTTGAAGACCACATTGACTTTCACGGTTATGGGATTACTTCCGGCTGGTATGTAGAGGACACAGATATTGAGACCAAAAGTGAAAATGGTGCAGAAATTCACATATTATGCTCACTCACTTTGAGACGGAATCCAACATATTTCATCTTGAATATTTTTTTACCGATCGTGCTTTTGTCATTTATGAACCTATGTGTATTCATACTTCCTGTCCAGTCGGGAGAAAAGGCTAGTTTTGTGATCACTGTGTTTCTTTCACTTGCCGTTTTTCTAACTATTGTAAGCAGCAATCTACCCGAAAACACCGACAATGTATCGATCCTTAATATATATGTATGTATCTGCACGCTGCTCAGTGTAATCATCGCTTTTCTGACCATCATACAAATACGACTGTATCATCGAGACTCGAACATGCCAATTCCACCTCTGCTGCTTAAACTGGTCATCTTGTTTACCTCAAAGGGACGACGCATTCACAAAGGTAGCACTGATACAATTCCAAATAAAGCAGTACAAAAACAGCAGAAGAAGAATATCATTGATGTTATTCCTTTGGATGATACTATACGTGATGATAAAAATAAAGACGTGGCCAGACGTGGCCAGATGTTGTACAGGCATTTGATAATATTTTCCTGGTGGTATTTTTGATGATTACAATAAGTATGACTATGACTGTCCTAATACTGGCAGCTCGTAAAGAGGAAATGCCAGAGGAACACGAGGTACATTGAATTGTTTCAGAAATACAAACATTGCAGAATAAAAAGGAGAATGAACATTCAATATATAACATTAATTGTTGGAAGCATGTTACAGTTATACGTTGGACATCTTTTACTTGACTTGATAATGAATATATTTTTTACTCTTTATAGAGTTAAATATTTTGTTTGTCTATGAATAAATTTGATAATTAATGATATACTTTTTTGCAATACCTTGCATTTGTTTCGGGTTTGAACGAAATTGGATATACATGTAATACTTAATGCATTTAAAAGTTCATAATAATATAAACTTTATATGATCTCAGGAAACACTTTCAGATATTTTGCAAGGGAGGATGGGGTAATTATTTTCGATTAAAGGAAGACAATAAGAGGTTAATACACGGCAGGAGAGGGCCGAAGGTGATAATCGGCCCGCAAAATGAATAATGGACCCGAGGGCTTTAGCCCGAGGGTCATTATTCATTCAGGGCCGATTATCACCTTCCGGCCCTACGCTGACGTGTATTAATGTCTTTAATACACTTGGTAGATCTTATAGTAGCATTTAAAAAAACAACAAAAAAATAACAAAAACATAATCAAAACAAATAGACTTTGAAGTTCTTTCGTTGAAATTCTTGTCTACTCTTCTACTGTTCTGTACAGAACAGTACAGAGATGTTTTCTGTTTGTGTGTTCAAAGCAGTAGAACCAAGAAGCAAGTTTTATTTTCTTTTTTTTTCGGAATGAATATGTCGTATTATTTCTTCAAATTTCAATAGTAACAAAAATGTGTTTGTACTAAATACGCTTAAGGTCTCATAATAAAAATGAAGCGATTCGTGCTGACAACCTACTTTCACTTTTACAGTTAACTGTTTGATGACGTTAAAAGTGACGTCATTGTTTCAGTTTGTGCACGTGCACATGTTCTGCGGGCTGATAACTAGTTCTCGGCCCCGGGCCGCAAACTCATAATAGGTCACGTGACACTCATAATCAGTTGAAATCATAGGCAATTTTGTTACTATATATAGTAACAAGTGTATTAATAAGTAATATCACTCTATTTCCTATAAAAGCTAATAAAAGCGCTAACCATTTTCATAGACGTAAGGCTGTTGTTCATGCATGGTCCAAACATTGAGGCCAATAGTGCTTGAGTTTTATTTAAATTATTCTTAATAATTAAAGCCAATCCTAATGAAGGGCGGGTGGCGACCTCATTCGTTAAAAATATCACTACGCATTAAATTGTGTTTTCAGGTGCAAATTTAAACATTAACGTTCGCAAAACGTTAAGGACATTAAACCATTCAAGGGTATTCAATATTATTTTTTCCTTAGAAAATGAAAATGATATTAATAAAAATGATTGCTGTGCAATGTATTTTGATGCCGTAACAGATGTTTATCGGTTAGAAAAATACATAATGATTTTAATTATAACCTAAATAAAATAATCTATAAATAAAACAATGATTTGCTGACCGGTGAAAGCCTAAATTTGCAATAATCTGAGATAATATGTATATTTATTAAGGTTGTTGGCCCTTACAAAGGCTGGATTGTAGACTGCTATTACAGTATAGCATGCCTAATGCAGAACTTCCTTTCTAAATACATGTAGTAATCATTTTCAGTTTTTTATATAAAATCTGAAATTTAGAAAAAAATGTTTACTGTAAATTGTGTGAAATTGGATAGGGTAACAACTTAAAATGATTATAATTTGAAATCGGCATGGTAAACCTTCTTTATATTTTTCACAAATGTTATGGTTTGTATCAAGATAATTATTATTAAATAATATTTTGATGCCCCTATTTTATATAACAAAATCTAACAGGTTTTCGTACCCCACTCTCTTCTAATTTGATGTAAAATAACAAATTCCTGTCTCAATAAACCAAAAAAAAAATCTTTTTCATAGACATTTATAATTATCTATTACACAAACGTTGATACGAGGGTTGTCCAAAAATTTCGTGCACTGCAGTTATTGTCGTGAGCATTATTGATAAAAAACATGAATTATATATCACTTGAAGGGGCACTCTGTCTCAAATAAGAAAACAAAAGAAAAAGTCGTGTAACAGGCGTGTCGTGAAAACGAATCGTCATACAGTTACCTTAGTAACGTAATACCGGCGCACGACAAAAAAAAAGTGAATTAGTTCATTACTGTGATTGTATTTATTCTTTTGTTGCTTGTAAAGTGGTATTTGCTTTTTATGTACCGTCTATAGACGAATAATTGATGCAAAGTATTTTGTTGTTTTTATTGTTCTCATGCAACGTACATGTAACACATTCCACCATTGCACGAATATATTGGACAACCCTCGTCACATGCGCCGGCATTACGGACGGACGTCTGTCTGATCGGTTGTCATCGTCTACCGACTCTCGCCCCTCTACAAAGCATTTGTGCCATTTAAAAACCAGCCTTCGTGACATTGAACTGGTCCCGTTTGTCCTTTTAAGTTTTTTGTAGGTATCTGACGGTGTTTTACCAATACATCCGCAAAATTTAATGATAGTCGTATTCACAGACGTTTAGTGACTGACATTTTCACGTAATGACAGTATTGACGACCACACGGAAATGTTTGTTAACTTATGTTACAATAAGTCAAATGACGTCATATTTGCCAGTGATGTCAGGAATACGTACACACACTTTTCCCTGAATTTTAACATTTATATGTAGTGTTTTAAGGATACTGTGATGCATCAAATTTATGAACTAACCCATTTCTTTGTCGTGCGCCGGTATTACGTCACTAAGGTAACTGTATGCGTTCGTTTTCACGACACGCCTGTTACACGACTTTTTCTTTTGTTTTCTTATTTGGGACATTTTGCCCTTTCAAGTGATATATAATTCATGTTTTTTTTATCAATAACTCTCACGACAATAACTGCGGGGCACGAATTTTTTAGACAACCCTCGTCCAACGTTTCGAGGGGTTATACTCCTCTTTTCAAGAAGTTTCTGTTTATTTTTACGAACAGTAAAAGTAACAACAACAATATTAATAATAATGATAATGATAATAATAATCATAGCAGCAAATAACCATGAAAATAATAATAATAATAACAATAATAATAAAAATTAATAATAATAATAATAATAATGATAATAATAATAATGATAATAATGATATTAGGACAAGGGATAAGTAGTGATTAACTGAAATAACTATGTTTTAGTAGCTAGAAAATTAGAATTGATAAAAATTAAAAATTAGATTGCAACAACGCAATACCGATGAATGCAATAATAACGGTCGTGTACTAACAATTAAAACAACAATAATATTTATAAATCCTAAAGCACGTTTCATTGTCATCAATGATAATAATAATAAGTCTTATTTTGTTTTGATATTCATAGGTGACCATGTTTGTAACTTGTTTATCCAAAACTCTTCACTAATCCGTCTGTAAATTGTACTCTTATTGTTATAAATTCATTCTATGATATTGAATTTTATGTCATTTTCTGAATGGTCTGATGAAATAAAATGGTTAGACACAGGTTTGTCTCTGAATGAGCTTATATCCCAAACATGCTCTTTAATCCTTTCTTTAATGCTTCTCCCTGTTTCACCCACATATACTTGTTGATTACATTCTCCGCTCTGTGGTAGGAACACCAAGTCGAACTTATTCTTAATAATATCAAATCATTGCCGGTATTTCTTGACATTTTGTTAATTGTGGTCTGTATTTACGATATTACTAACTGTTTCCAGAATGAATCATAGACATTTGTCATTGGTTTAAAATTTGTAGTCATTAAAAACATGGCTCTCTATTAACACTTTTCAACTAAGAAAAATATGAAACTAGCCAAACTTTTCTTCATATAATGAAAAGATATTCTTTGTTGCTGTTGTACAAAACTGATACAAAAGTTATTTTTCAATTGTCAATATTTTTCAAACAAAATGGTAAACTTTTGTGATTTTTTTGTATTTATGTCCAGAATATAGTATAGTTTATAAATATAAAATACTTAATGCCCTTTGAAAAAGTGTTAATTATACATCTTATACCTTAATATTGCCATTTTAACAGCTAGCCCCTTTTACGTTATGTGACAAGTAATAAGTTTACAAGAAATCCACAGAGCTTTGAAATCTTTGTCTACATTGACCATCAATTTTAGGTATTGGAAATATTTCTTTACTTCAGAGTATACAACATGTGCATTGTGTCTAATTTTGATTTTAACAAAAGTAAAAATTCATCAATTTAGCGTGTGATAAATACTAAGGATTGCTTAAGTCGCCACTGACTGATTTTAAGTTCTGATATTCTTGTGGAATTACTGAGATGCTGAACCTCCAGGCCCCACTTTTTCCTTTTCCTACGGGCCTGATTTCTATGTTTTATTGTTTTGATTTTTCATTGTATGTTGACATTTGGCCATTTTTTCTACCTTTAATATAGTACTTTTTTACTGTTCTATACATTATGAACAAATAAATTGTACACTAATGTTTTTAATTATTACTATTATTATTATTATTATTATTATTATTATTATTATTATACTGGTAGTTGTTTTGAATATTTTTTTTAATAATTTAAACTTATATTTTTATATTTTCTTTGTATAATACAAGTTCTGTTTGTGTTTTCTAATTTGCACTTAAAGACTCCTACTTTGTGACATTTTAAATTTGTATGAAGAGCAAATGTTGTCTTCTTTAGGTTATACATTTTTTAGGTAGGTAGGGTAGGGTAGGGTAGGGTAGGGTAGGTAGGTAGGTAGGTAGATAGCTAGAAAGAAAGATAGATAGATAGATAGATAGATAGATAGATAGATAGATAGATAGATAGATAGATAGATAGATAGATAGATAGATAGATAGATAGATAGATAGATAGATAGATAGATAGATAGATAGATAGATAGATAGA